GAAGACCCCCTTAGCATGAAATTGTCCATATTTTGAGTTAGAGCCGATGAAGTTTTCTATAATTTTGATATAATTTGTCCCAAAAGTAGTACAACACACTGTAAAAATATTATTGAGAAAGCGCAGGTGGGATTTTTTTAATTTTCATTTATTGTCTAAAAGAAATGCACTACGAAATAACTGTGTACTCGGACCTAAGAGGTGAAATCAGGAAATATAGAATCTGTACTTTGGCAACTTCCCTGAATGATTTGATGGTGTCAATTTATCAAATAGCATAAAACTAAAGGATTTAAACTTTTATTTGATAGAATTTCTGCAAAAATGACCAATTTTGGCATTTTATGGTCAAAATAAGCATTTCACAGCTTTTTCAATTTTGATGCATAAGTGGCATTCTGACTTTCTATCTGACAGGTTTTTATGTGTCAATATTTGTGTTTCTATGCTTCAATCCAGTTGTATTACTCATTTGTGAACTCTGACTCTACAGAAAAGAAGATTATCTCAGACAATATGTGCAAAATGTGTTGTATATATGATCCTCGTCTAACGCCCTGTTTGGATCAAGTTAAATGTCAGGAGCTTGGAACATAAAAGTTGAAGTCCATTATAAAGACCTCACTAAATTTGTATAAAAAGCACTTAACAATGTCTTTTGTACCTGTTTTATGTCACATAATATCTTTCTTTTCTTCAGTAGGATAGCAAGTGGTTCAAATATAAGCCTGTTGAGACTAAAATTGCATGCATGTTTTTCACTAAAAAGTGAAAAATCTTTGTATCAGACCATACTGTCTGCAAAAAAAGTTGAATGCAAGAGTCTTTTTGTGCTCAAATTTATTGTATCATGTCACCTGAGTATAGAAATGATAGAAAAGACACAAAATTTTATTTCATATAGCTTCAATATGCATTTTTAAATGTAAATATGTGATACGGCCTAAATTGACCCTAAATTATTTTCAGTCTTACTTGGCCTAAGACCCTTTTGAACTAATGTGATATGTTATTTGTAAGTTTTCTTTCCATTTAAAGTACATTAAATACATATGTAAGGATTATTTATAACCAAAAAGCTTTACAAATTTAAAATTGCTGGAAAATATTACATCTTCATGTAAGGCCCCCCTTCATTGGAAAACCTCCATTTTTAGCCACAGGCTCATATAAATTTGACTTTTTAATAATTATGATAAGTCTGATAAATCAAATGAGTACTCTATTGCTTTTAATACATAATATATTATATATTAAGGCATTTCAAAAGTATTTTTTTGCAATATTTTAATTTTTTAAGCCCCAAATGTTGATAGTTGAAAATTTTCAATTTTAACGTCTAAATTTAACACTCAAAGTTGAATATAGAATTAGTCATATTGTCTATAATATATATCCTATTGCCATGAAACTTTGTAAGCAGTCTTATAATTTAATAAGCTTTAGTCATACCAAGTTTCATTAAGATTGGTCAACTTTTTCTACCCTATTAGGTCCGGGTACACAGTTATCGTCCTTTGATTTTCGTTGTCCACGAATATAGTCCCTAGTGTGGACAGTGTGTTACTTGTCGATTTTTTTTATACCCCTTCCGAATTTATTTCTCCATGTTTTATGACTCAAATAGTAAGTAGGGGGGTGAAATGACACTGTAAAAAAATTTGGGTCATGAATTTTAAAGTAAAGTAGTGATTTGGTCCAGCTGAAAAATGTTAAAAATTAGCACTTCGGAAGCTGTCAAAAGATTTGAAGACCCCCTTAGCATGAAATTGTCCATATTTTGAGTTAGAGCCGATGAAGTTTTCTATAATTTTGATATAATTTGTCCCAAAAGTAGTACAACACACTGTAAAAATATTATTGAGAAAGCGCAGGTGGGATTTTTTTAATTTTCATTTATTGTCTAAAAGAAATGCACTACGAAATAACTGTGTACTCGGACCAGAAGCGCGGAAACCAAGGCTTCAACATCGTTTTGATAAAAAAAACAAATAGAGGGAGGGAATGAGAAGGGGGAGGAGAAATGGACAATATGCGATTAGATAAAAAAAGTTTTTGAAGTCAACGTCATCACTTCTAATACTCCCATTCCTTACCATCCCCTGCGCTTTATCCCCCCTCTTTTTAGAGCAGACTAATATTGCTTGAATTTGACCAATTTTGACCTATATCAAATCATTTACACTCGTTTGCTCATTCTTTTGACAATGCCAGTAACCACTGCCACCGCTGAACGCAGTTTCAGTGTCATGTGCAGGGTCAAAACATCTGCGTTCTATGATGACAACTGTATGACTTTCGGGTCTATATATCCTTCACGCATACAAAGAGACGCCCATTGACATTGATAAAGTAATTGATTGTCTTGCAACCAAAAAGGACAAGAGGCTTGCATTTTTGTTTAAAGTCACTGGTGAGAGAGATTGACTCTTTTAATAATTAACAAGAAATGATTGTAACAGGATGCTGTTACGAAGTCTCCCAAACGAAGCTCCCATAATTCGTAATTCCCAGGGTCGCCTGACATTGGGCAAAGCCCAGTGAAAATTGGTTTGGTCCAGTAAAGTTATATGCATTAGTGATGCCTAAGGACTAACCCTGTATATCATTCAAATCATTTTGGCATGACAAACCTGAATATATATGGTTAAGGGGAGGGAACTCGACCATTTACAAGATACTAGAACATTGGGGGTGGGGGAACCCCTGGGGATTGACCCTATATGTCATTCAAATGTTCGAGACATGACGAACAGGAATATATATGGTTTAGGGGTAGAATCTCGACCATTTACAAGATATTAGAACTTTCTCAAATGGCAGGGGGTCGGGATGAGCCCTGAGGACTAACCCTGTATATTATTCAAACCATCTTCGCATGACAAACCAGAATATATATGGTTTAGGGGTAGGGATCTCGACCATTTACAAGATACTAGAACATTGGGGGTGGGGGGAACCCCTGGGGACTGACCCTATACGTCATTCAAATGTTCGAGACATAACGAACAGGAATATATATGGTTTAGGGGTGGGGATTTCGACCATTTACAAGATATTAGAACTTTCTCAATTGGCAGGGCGTCGGGATGACCCCTGGGGACTAACCCTGTATATCATTCAAACCATCTTCGCATGACAAACTAGAATATATATGGTTTAGGGGTGGGGATCTTGACCACTTACAAGATATTAGAACTTTCTTAAATGGCAGGGGGTGGGGGTGACCCCTGGGGACTAACACTGTATTTCATTTGATGTGTTTTATCATGACAAACCAGAATATATATGGTTTAGGGGTGGGGATTTCGACCATTTACAAGATATTAGAACTTTCTCAAATGGCAGGGGGTGGGGATGACCCCTGAGGACTAACCCTGTATATCATTCAAACCATCTTAGCATGACAAATCAGAATATATATGGTTTAGGGGTGGGGATCTTGACCACTTACAAGATATTAGAACTTTCTTAAATGGCAGGGGATGGGGGTGACCCCTGGGGACTAACCCTGTATTTTATTTGATGTGCTTTATCATGACAAACCAGAATATATATGGTTTAGGGGTGGGGATCTCGACTATTTACAAGATATTAGAACTTTCTCAAATGGCAGGGGGTGGGGATGACCCCTCGGGACTAACCCTGTATATCATTCAAACCATCTTAGCATGACAAACCAGAATATATATGGTTTAGGGGTGGGGATCTTGACCACTTACAAGGTACTTAGTATTAGAACTTTCTTAAATGGAAGGGGGTGGGGGTGACCCCTGGGGACTAACCCTTTATTTCATTTAATGTGCTTTATCATTTAGAACATTTTCAATTAAAAAGATTGTGTCTATCACAAACGGTTTTCAATTTATAATCATTTGAAAATTTAAAAAAATTAAATCCCATAGGGTTCTATAGTAAAACCCTCCTTTCTTTTTGCCCCTCAAAGTACCCCTTTATAAACCCTATTGCACAAACAAAACCCTGATTGCACCACTAGACATGTTAGTCTAACATATTGTGAAACCCTAAGTTAATCTGACAAGTGGTTTTGGAGAACGGGTGCGGACAAGTTCAAACTTAAAAGCGGCGGAAGAAGAAGAAGAAGAAGAAGAAAAAGAACTAAGCAAAACCAATAAGTCTTCCCAAACTTCGTTTGGGAGACTTAATAACCACACATAAGGTTTCGACTGACTTTATCTACGTGACATGCTTCCTCGAACAATTACCCTACTGAGTTTGTATTTTGAAATAAAACAAAACAGTTTTTTGAGTTTATTCACTTGCAAACATGGCAGGAAACTTAGAATCATGCATAATTTTGTACCATGAATATTGCTCAGCTTTTACACGATGTTTGCTTTAAATACAACCAAAGGCAAGTGTGATCCATCCCCTAATTATATTCATTCGTTTGTCTTTTTCCATTTAGTTGATCTCGTAAGTTGTCTTTCGCTGCCCATCTGTACGTACCCACTTTAACTGGATATATTGTTTATATTTTATCTCCAAACAATGTGGTGGTTTTAATTATACTAGTCAATATAACTTTTTTCTACCCCTCTTAAATTTCTGGATTTTAGTTTCTAGGAGGAAAAATATACAATTTTTCACAAAAATATTTGACTTGTATCAAACAAAAATGCTTTTGACTCAACCTTAATATTCAATATTTTCAGTTCGTATTTGTGGGTCTTAAACCCTAAAATCCAGGAGCTTCCCCCAAGCAGGGCTTTTCCCTGGAACCACTGGGGGCCTTTTTGTCTCACAGACCCCATGCCGAAATTCGGCTTCACCTTCAAAATATGTCCAGCAACGCCACTTGTCATCAGTGTTGCAGATGGCCAAAATATTTCAATATATTTGACATGAGTGAGTGTCATGACATCTTTTGCAATCAGGGAATATTTATCATAACAAGATACACATTATCTTCTCAAATGATTGGTTTTATTCTGAAAACAACTTACTTTCAACAGCTCTGACTTGACGTAATCTGATTGGTCCTAATCTGAAATTAACCTGGTCCTGTAAGTATTGTCTGTAGTAGGCTGTCAGGTTCTCTGCATAGTAAGATTGTTTAGGAAAGACGAAAGGGACCAGTGTATCACTCAGCCAGGTGTAAAAATCTGCAGTTGATTTTACCTGTAATAATTAAATGTTGAATAGAAGTGAGATATATGCAAATGAGACAACCTGATATTACAAACACATAAAAGACACACAAGGTCAACTTTGAACAAGTATTAATACAATGTGTCAAGCTCTCCATCAACAACAATAAGTGTGAATACTATATGTCAGGCTCTCCATCAACAACAGTTAATCTTCATACTATATGTCAAACTCTCCATCACCAACAGTTAGTGTTAAAACTATATGTCAGTCTCTATCAACAACAGTTAATGTTAATACTATATGTCAAACTCTCCATCACCAACAGTTAGTGTTAAAACTATATGTCAGGTTCTCCATCAACAACAGTTAATGTTAATACTATATGTCAAACTCTCCATCACCAACAGTTAGTGTTAATACTATATGTCAGGCTCTCAATCAACAACAGTTAATGTTAATACTATATGTCAAACTCTCTATCAACACCAGTAAGTGTTAATTCTATATGTCAAACTCTCCATCACTAACAGTTAGTGTTAATACTATATGTCAAGCTGTGCATCAACAAGAGTTAATGTTAATACTATATGTCAAGCTCTCCATCACCAACAGTTAGTGTTTTAATACTATATGTCAAACTCTCCATCAACAACAATAAGTGTTAATACTATATGTCAGGCTCTCCACCAACAACAGTTAATGTTAATACTATATGTCAAGCTGTCCATCACCAACAATAAGTGTTAATACTATATGTCAAACTGTCCATTGCCAACATTTAGTGTTAACACAAATGTCAAGCTCTCCATTGCCAATATTTAGTGTTAATACTATATGTCAAGCTCTCCATTGCCAACATTTAGTTTTAATACTATATGTCAAGCTCTCCATTGCCAACATTTAGTGTTAATACTGTATGCCAAGCTCTCCATTGCCAACATTAGTGTTAATACTGTGTGTCAAGCACTCCATTACCAACATTTAGTGTTAATACTATGTGTCAAGCACTCCATTAGCAACATTTAGTGTTAATACTATATGTCAAGCTCTCAATCACCAACAATACGGTTTAATACTATATGCCAAGCTCTCCATTAGTGATTTCCAACAATAAGTATTAATACTTTAAGTCGAGCTGTCCACCACCAACAGTTATTAGTGTTAATACTATATGTCAAGCTCTCCATCAAAAAAATTTATAGTTAAGTGTTAATACTATGTGACAAGATCACCAAAAGTTAATGTATATACTTACTTATATATACATGTGTTGTTTGACCTGTGAGTCAAATGCGTTTTGTTAAAATATACTTTTTCACTTTTTTTGTCTTTTGGAAAATGTTGTTTGTACTGTATTTAAACCCCTCTACCAAGAAATTTGTTTTCCATGCACACGTATAAAAATTGCGATTTTTATCCAACGCAATCATAGGTTTGAACGTTGTTTTCAATTTAGACTTGTTTATATTTTTTCGTTTGGGCTTGTATTATATTTGCCTTCAGGTTTATATGATCCGTTCATCCTATTTTGACTCCTCAAAATTCAAGAGTCTAACCTAAATTGAGGTAAATTGTATGTCTTTCCAAATACCGTTTCGATTCCTAACATCACTGAAGAGACATTAATTGTCGAAATCCGGATATGGTGTACTAAAATCTTTGCACCTTTTATTTGCGGTATACCATCTTTTCCGCAAGTTTATTGTTTTCTGTTTAGTATTAAATTTATAATTAAGATCCATTTATTACATCGGTGATCCGTTTATTTGGCAATCGCCAATGGCAGTCAGCAGGGTTTAAGAACATTTGTTGTTCGACCTGTTAGTCAAATGCGTTTTGTTAAAATATACTTTTTCACTTTTTTGGTCTTTTGGAAAATGTTGTTTGTGCTGTATTTAGACCCCTCCATAGACATTATGCAATATTACAAAGGTACATATGTTGAGGAAATAAACAATACAGTAGAATACATAAATATGTTTACATGTTAAAAAAGTGAAGTGGATATTAAATGGAAGACCTTAAAATATGAGGGAGGAGGGAGAAGGTTATATGTCAAGCTCTCACTCAACAACAGTTAGTGTTAATACAATACGTCAAACTCTCTGTTATCAACAGTATCAAAATTAAAAGAGGAGTTTCTGTTAATAGCTTTCAAATCACCTTATCTACTCATTTTTTTTTAGATAAACCCTTATTTTTCAAAGGACAAGATTTGAAATTACCCACTCAGAAGCTGGTTTTAACCAAAATGAGATAACAAGTGGACAATCAAAACTCTTAGTAAAAGATAAACTAACAATACAATGACAATAAACAAGTCAACAAAAAGACTAACAAGTTCACAAAACATTATAACTATGGAAAACTAAAGACTGAGCAACACTAATCCCACCAAAACTAGGGATGATCTCAGGAGCTCTGAGGGTAAGCAGATCCTGCTCCACTAGTGGACATCATTATGTTGCTCGTCAAAATTGTTTTGAAGGGATAAAAATGATGTAAACTATAGATAAATAAAAGAACAGAGTTCCAATGTCCCCTGCATTGTTCATATTTTATATTTCCAAGGGGCAAAACTCTTTTTAAAAAAGTCGATCGTCCATCATTTTAGAATTTGTCAGAGATATTGCTCATATTAACCCATTGTATAAGTTTTAGAAAAATCTTGCAAGAATTGTACCGTTATGAGCGCAAACAAGGCCATTTTCCATAAATTAAATATTTCCAAGGGGCATAACTCTTTTTTAAAAAAGATGATCTGCCACCATTATAGAACTTGTCCAAGATATTGCTCATATTAACCTATTGTACAAGTTTTTATAAAAATCTGGCAAGAACTGTACCTGTGAGAGCGCAAACGAGGCCATTTTTTGCATAAATTTAATATTACCAAGGGCATAACTCTTTTAAAAAAGTTGATCTGCCACCATTATGAAACTTGTCAGAGATATTGCTGATATTCACCTATAGTATAAGTTTTATAAAAATCTGGCAAGAATTGTGCCTGTGAGAGCGCTAACAAGGCCACACGGACGGACGCCTGGTATTTCCATGTCCTCTGCAATGCGTTACACGGGGGACAAAAATGTTTTGTGATGACATGACCAATACTAGCACTTGTAGTCAGGTGAGCCAAAATACAATATATGTAAACCAGATGTTAGATTAAATTCAAAGTAAACAATAATATCTAGTGAATTGATCATCTTTAAAGGAATTTTATACGTTTACAAATCCTTTTTGCTTTGCAGATATTGTACTAACACACACTAAGAAATCTTACATTTTCAAACCTCATTGTGTCCCATGATATAATGTCCTTGTTACTGACGACCAATTGTTGCTCAATATGTTGTTTGGAGTAATACCATTGTACATCCCGGTTACTGAAGCTGATCAGATACAGTACGGTAAGAAATACAGCATACAGAATTAACTCTGTAAAGATGTGCTCTGCTTTTAATACTTCCTTTCTCTGTACCTTCAGTTTGGAGACAATATCTGGATTTAATGGAGAAGACTCTTTTCTAAATGTATCTACAAATAAAGACTCAAATTAATTTTTCAGCTCCCTATTCTATAAAATGGTATTGACAGATAGTTTGACTAAGACGGAGGAATCAATATAATACCAACAGATATACCGGTATCAGGGGCGGATCCAGCCATTTTTAAAAGAGGGGTTCCCAACCCAGGAAAAAGGGGGGGAGGGGGGTTCCAACTATATGTCCCCATTCAAATGCATTGATCGTCCAAAAAAAAAGGGGGGGTTCAACCCCCGAACCCTCCTCTGGATCCGCCACTGGGTTTGTATTTGAAGTTTAACCGTAACTTTAAAAAAAAATTGTTCAAAGCAGACTAAAAATTCGTAAGGGTTCCGCGGAACCCAGTGTCTTGCCTTCTTTTGCTGTTAGTCGCAGGCTCAACAAAAATGGGGAAAAAAATATTAAAAATTGTCCTCTAGATACTATCTTTTGATTGTAAGAAGTTCTGTTCAAGTTTGGTAAAAATCCAAGAAGGTTTATGAATCTAATAAATGTTTTAAAAACATTAACTGCGGACTGTACATAATGTTAACTGGAATAAAACTAAGTCCATTTATAAGTAATATACAGAAAAACAGGAAATAATTTTTACAAAATTTCCTTCTAGATACTAGCTTTCGATCATAAACAAGCTTCTGTCCAAGTTTGGTACAAGTCCAGGATAGTTTAAGAAAGTTATTAAAATTTTGAAAGCTTTAACTACAGTGTGAATGTAATGTTAACTGTCAGAAAAACTAAGTCCATTTATAAGTAAAATACGGATAAACAGGATTTTTTTTTTAACAAAATTTACTTTTGAATACTATCTTATGATCACAAACAAGCTTCTGTCCAAGTATGGTACATATCCAGGATAGTTTAAGAAAGTTATTAAAATTTGATAAACTTTAACCACAGAGTGAATGTTATGTTAACTGGCAGAAAAACTAAGTCCATATATGAGTAAAATACGGGTAAACAGGATTTTTTTTTACAAAATTTTCTTCTGGGTACTATCTTATGATTATAAACAAGTTTCGACGACGCCGACGGAATGTAGGATTGCTATGTCTCGCTTTTGCGACAAAAGTCGCAGGCTGGACAAAAACTATGTATTTTGAGAAATTTAATTTGCATAGGGACATATAAATTTCTGATAATTAATAACAGAAAATTCTCTTGTAATATTTAAAGTGTTGTACACAAAGACTGAAAATGCCAAGATGTTCAAATTGAGCATTCAACCAGTTATCAGTGAGCCTTGTTAGCTGTGATAATGACAAAAGTAACTGGCAGAACATGCATCGGACTATTATACAGCAAAACATACATGTTTCATATTTTTCATGTCAGGGCCTTTATAGCCAACCTTACGGTAAGGATTTTCTCTTGTGTTGAAGACTGTACTGTTACCTATAATTGCTTAAATCCACTTCATTTGAACTTTGGTGAATAGTCTCATTGGCAATCATACCACATCTCCTTATTTTTATATATGTGTAAAGAACAAGATATCTTTAAGGAATAGACCTCTTTCGAGTTGTAATTCACCCAAAAAGTTCATCAATTATGTGCGCCATTATGACGTCATTTGCCAGATAGAGGAGCCTGCCTGTATCCCTCCACTATTAAAGTTCATCAAGCATCTTCATGATTGTCATTGTGCAGGATAAACTAGAAATAATGTTTGTTCGGTAGGCACTTAATCCCAATTCCCTAATGACAGCAGTGCTGATTATCAGTTATAAGAATTTAATTTGCCAAATAGTCGTGCAATATAGTAGCATACTTTTCAACCTCTCGCTCAAAATGTGAAGGAAGTGGTGATGCCCCTAAATGCACGAATGATGATCACTAAAACCAAAGTTTTTGACAAAATGCAACAAACTCAAAAGTGGTCTATTGTTTTGTAGTGTTAGGTTCATGTCTCATTAATGTATATCCCACATAATTTTTGATTTATTTGTAAGAAGTAATTTTTGAAACTGCATATATATTATACAATTACATTTGAAAAGGAGCACTTCTATAGAATGTATATTGTATTATTTTACTACAGGCTTTAGCAATGCATTAGATCTGGGGCTAAGACATTTATCTACTTGTCGTAGATTAGATGTTTTATTATATAATGTACTTTTCCATACCAATAAAATAAGACACGGGTGAAGCTGCTTTCTTCTTGATTTCTTCTAGTAATAATTCCTTGTTGTATACAACATTGTTTTCTTGTTTTGCTCTTCTAGATATGTAGGCAAAAACTGTAGAGATAACAATTATCTGAAATTAGGGGGAAAAATAGATTTTAAAACAAATTATCACAGAAGGATTTACTTTCAATTCTGGAGATAATTTTAAAATATAGGACATGACTTTTAATCAGATTTTTTAAACAATTATAACGACTATAATGTTTCAAAAAGAGTGTCATGCCGGGGCCTTTCATTGCTTACTAATAACTATTACAGAATGGGTTTTGCTCATCGCTGACTCAGTATGGAGACCTCTAGTTGCTTGAGTCTACACCATTTGCTCTCTTTTAGATAGTTGTATCATTAAACCACACCTCCTAATTTTTATATTGATTCTCACAGACCAGTTGAAATCGTTATACAAAACATGATTATTTAATATTCACCATGCAAGATTTAAACATTACAATTTATGATCATTTATAGTATTTTATAACATAATCATGATGAATGTAACTGATGCAGGGATATCCTACCTCCCAAGATAGCATTACACTATCATAAAGGACCTGACTACTGTAGATTCATTAGTATTCGTGGGATACCAATTTTTTTTATTTGAGGCGTAAATGTGAATCAAGAATTTAAATATCAACAAAGTGCAAATTTTCTGTAGGTTTGATTGCAGACTTTGGCAAAACCTCAAAATGAGACATCCACAAAAATTCAATTTATTCTCAATCCATGAAAATAAATGAATCCACAGTATTTATTCATTAAACAACTGAGATTTAATGACGACCTACCTTTAATGGATCCATCACAAACATAGATTCAAAGAATGAGAGGAAGAAACATAGAAGCCATTGTTCTGACTTGGTCTTGCCCCATTCCATACTATACAATATAACAAAGAATCCAGATAGGACTACAGCAGATACAACTAAAGCCCATGCTATGATCTGACATCCCCATGGTAATGTACGTTCATCTCCTCCATTAGATATTGTCAATCTCTCCATGTCTGACATGGCTGTGTCTTTCCTCAAGTGACAAGATTTTCTAAATAAATATGTTATCATCAACATCACTGGAATTGTTAACAATAAACTGATGAAGGATATATAAATCCCTGCTAAACTGAAGTTCAATGGTCCTAATGACACCTGGCTGGACTCTGTTCCCTGGCCATAAAACATAGCATTAGAAATCATGGTCAGAAACAGTAATGTCAGACAGCAAGCTAATCTTTGTAGTCGAGAGAAATTACTTGGTTCTGGGCGAAGGCCAACTGACAACCAAAGATGGCTGTCTGTAGTATTTTCTCGTGTCTGCTCGTTGAAAAGAAAAGAAAACTGTTTGGTTTCTTTTGTATCCACGACAGGGATGATGCTCTGTATTTTACCATCGTCATGGTCCAATGACAGCCACTCGTTACACAGGAACAGGTATCTACAATATAATCATACACTTCACATATATATCTGTTTACTCAAACTAAGGGTAAGCATTTTATTTCAATTTACAATCAAGACATGTCATGCATAAGGGCCAATATACACAATTGATTTCCCATAGGTGGTAATGGTAACATATAAGCTCTATCCATATCGTAAACTTGGATATGTATGATGGCTCTTTTATAAGCTGAGACATTTTCACATATCTGGTTAAATTTTCAGGGTATGAAGTGAGATTCTTTTTCCGTAACTTAGCACACCCCGAAAATCCTTTCGTGATGTGGTTCGTCGTGGTAAAAAATTTCTTTTTTCACACAATAAGTTCTTTGAAAATTTAATACTTTGAATACATTTAATAACTCCATAGTTTTTACATATTTATTCTATGGTTCTCTACTTTCCAAATCAACAACCAAATTAATGTTGAGGTCACTGGAAACAGTGGGCCTAAGGGTAAGTCTTGTTACAATTTCTTTTAAAGCAAGGGGGACAAAAATGCTGTTTTCCCCTTCAAGTATATATTAAGATGAAGTGTCAAACACATAATGGAAGTATCACAATTAAAATATCCAAAATTCATCTCAAAAGGATGCTCTGGCCTCAATTTCAAGATTGATTGATCAGTAAAAACTTTTTCTACAATTTGAAACATGTTAGTAAGGAAGTTATTATAATTTAAATATGAAGATAAATTGAGTAAAACACTAAAGAATACCTTTTTGAGATGGATTTTGGATAGTTTAAATTGTGATATATCTATTATGTATCAGCTAAGTTCATATTAAATATACCTCATACCAAATTATCTCAGGATCAAATCTTATCTTAACAAGGAGGAGGAGTTACAGACATGCAATGTCCAACAAGCTATGTCCTACTAATCTAAAGTCTGTAAATGTGACTTACAAGCACCACACTTTAATTCTAACTGTTGTCATGACAACAATAATGACCTCTGTCTTACCTTTCCCCTGTCTGTACATCTTCCAACAAGACTTTATTTAGGTACCATGACGCAGCACCACCTTTCCCGATATTATCATGACAACAATAATGACCTCTGTCTTACCTTTCCCCTGTCTGTACATCTTTCAACAAGACTTTATTTAGGTACCATGATGCAGCACCACCTTTCCCGGTATTATCATGACAACAATAATGACCTCTATCTTACCTTTCCCCTGTCTGTACATCTTCCAACAAGACTTTATTTAGGTACCATGATGCAGCACCACCTTTCCCGGTATTATCATGACAACAATAATGACCTATATCTTACCTTTCCCCTGTCTGCACATCTTCCAACAAGACTTTATTTAGGTACCATGATGCAGCACCACCTTTCCCGGTATTATCATGACAACAATAATGACCTCTGTCTTACCTTTCCCCTGTCTGTGCATCTTTCAACAAGAATTTATTTAGGTACCATGATGCAGCACCACCTTTCCCGGTATTATCATGACAACAATAATGACCTCTATCTTACCTTTCCCCTGTCTGTACATCTTCCAACAAGACTTTATTTAGGTACCATGACGCAGCACCACCTTTCCCGGTATTATCATGACCTCTATCTTACCTTTCCCCTGTCTGTACATCTTCCAACAAGACTTTATTTAGGTACCATGATGCAGCACCATCTTTCCCGGTATTATCATGACAACAATAATGACCTCTGTCTTACCTTTCCTCTGTCTGTACATCTTCCAACAAGACTTTATTTAGGTACCATGATGCAGCACCACCTTTCCCGGTATTATCATGCCATATTTGTAAGAATGCAGGATTGTGTATTTGTTGGGCAACACTCATTACAAATCTCCTTGTACTGCCTATCCCAAAACCCTGTAATATATAATGACTCTGTTCTTTGTCCAACCCTTGTAAATATATAATTATTCTGGTGTTTATCCAAGCCTTGTAAATACATATAATTTATCTGATTATTATCAGTCAGTTATATGCTAAACAATCTTTCTTTTACTTCAGCTGACCATTTATCAGCATTATCCTATTAGAACCAAAAACATTAATCATTTAAATACTCAACACAATTCAAATTTGATTTAGATATGTGATGCAAGCATCATGGAGAGAAAAACCTCACAAAACTAGATAATTAACAGCTGCACTATGAGCGCATGGTACGCCCTTATTGTGCATATTGAAATTGTTGCAAGAATAAAATGGGATATTTTGAGGGCATTTAATCTTATGTTCACAAATTCCAACAATTCTGTAAAGTTTTCACTGAATCAATTAAAGCAAACTCAAGTTAATGGTACAATATGTGAAAAAGAATTCTGAAAATCAGACATTTAAACTCCGATAACACTGGAGCGGCAAACTGGAAAATTAAATAAATTAAAATGTGGCTTCTTTTCACCAATCCCAATTATAAGGTAAAGTTGGAGGAAATCAATCCCAATTATAAAGTAAAGTTGGAGGAAATCAATCCAGGAATACTTGAGTTTGTGTGCATTATTGGTGAAAAATTGCCTTAAATGTAACAGTTAAATTTCCCTAATCTCTGGAATGACAAACCAGAAAATTAAAAGAATCACAAGGGGGCTTCCTTTCATCAAGCTGCAAAATAATGTAGTTTGGAGAAAATAAAATCAGGAAACTTTGAGTAAGTGCTCAATTCATGGAAAATTGCCTTAAATATAAAGGTCAAAGTTCCGTAATGACATATAAAATAAATAAAGAATCGAAAGGGAGCTTTTTTTTGTCAATTCCAATGATTTGTTAAAGTTATATGAGAATTAGTTAAAGTGATTTGCATTATAGTACAAAGTGTTGAAGGACGGATGGACATTGGTATACTATAAAACGTCTCATCTTTGACAGTATATAAAAACCAGAGATATCGAGAGCTAATTATATTTACCTTATAAAATCCTCTAAATCATACATCTCAAACCATGAACCGATATTTACTTCCCCAGAATTTTTATGAAAAAGGCTGAAATCACATTGAAAAATGCAAATACTAGGTATAAACCCTAATTACATCATACAAATTACCTTATTTTGTCCATCATCAAGATATCTAACCTCTGTTGATTTTTTCTCCCCAGAGATCACAAATCTAACATTAGATTTAGTCCCTGCATTTCTATTTAGTCCTGTGTATACTGTTATCATATAAAGGTATTCATCTGTGGGAGCATTGTCAACTAAATAGGAGATGGCCCACTACAAGAGATAAAATAAGAAAGAAAAATTATGTAATACTGTGTATTCATTAATATGAGACTGGTGCTACCTGATGAGCTCCTGAAGGGCTATTTGGTTTTAATTGAGTAGATTTTTCATGTTTGTTTTACTTGTCATAATACTTTTAGGTACTGTGAATTCAGAAATTATTGTAAGCATTTGTTAAATTGCATTTTTTTAAGAATGGACAAAAATGCTAATTACATTAATGATTTCAGGAAAATCTGCATACAGAGCAACAAATACATTGACAATATAACCTTTGCCTTATAAATAAATGTCATCTCTCCATTTATGTGTACACTCTCCTGATATATGCTAACTCTCAAGATATGTGTCAACTCTCCAGATATATGTCAGACCTCTCGAGATATGTGTCAATTTTGAAGATACTTGTCATCTCTCAAGAGAGGAGTTAACTCTCCTGATATGTGCGACACCTCTCCAGATGTGTTTATTCTCCAGATATCTGTCAACTGTCCAGTTACATGTCAACTCTCCAGATAGGTATCAACTCTGCAGATACCTGTAAACTCTCAAGATATGTGTCAACTCTACAGATAAGTGTCATCTCTCCAAATATGTATCCACTCTTCAGATACATATCAACTCCAGATATGTGTCAACCCTCCAAATATGTGTCAAACCTCTCCAGATACATGTCAACTCTCCAGATACATGTCCACTCTCAAGATATGTGTCAACTCTCCACATTCATGATCAACTCTCCAGATACATGTCAACTCTCCACATGCATGTCAACTCTCCAGATATCTGTCAACTGTCCAGTTACATGTCAAATCTCCAGATATGTATCAACTCTGCAGATACCTGTAAACTCTCAAGATATGTGTCAACTCTACAGAAAAGTGTCATCTCTCCAAATATGTATCCACTCTTCAGATACATATCAACTCCAGATATGTGTCAACCCTCCAAATATGTGTCAACTCTCCATATGTGTCAAACCTCTCCAGATATGTGTCAACTCTCCAGATGTGTCAACTGTCCATATACATGTCAACTCTCCACATTCATGATCAACTCTCCAGATACATGTCAACTCTCCAGATACCAGCCTCCAACTATATTTGTTTAACTTCAGAAATTTCCCTTCAAAGACCGCTCTTGATAGTTGGGTCAAATCTCCCATTTCTAGAAAAAATCTCCTATTTCCACCCATGCCTACAGTTGGTTGCTCAATCAATAGCAACAGCAATATGTTATTAACATTTATTATACTTCATGTCAAAATGCCAGATTTTGATTGGTTAATACGAGGGAGACAATTTACTCTATCCCATGGCAAATACTCTGTTACCCTTAAAGGAGATGCTTGCTCAAGTGTTCGCTTTAATAAATACGGATGATTGTTATGTACAAGACGACATAGTTTATTACTTTGAATTTGAAATGTAATAGACAGTAATAACAGGACATTCAGTATAATAAATTAAATAACACAAATCTGAGAGGGTGATAGAGCAGATTGTTACCCCTCGAAAAGACATTGTCAACCTTGGCTTTGCCTCAGTAGACAATATTTTCGCGGGGTAACAATCTGCTCTATCACTCTCTCAGCTATGTGTTATAAATATATATTGTTTCCTTTTGAAATTATTATTTAGGTATTTGTAAACCATTCAATACTGTACCTTTTCTGGATCTTTTTTGTCCTGTCTGAAGGCCCAGATAGATATTAGAAGAAACAGGACTATGATGCTGATTATAGTGAACAATACAGCTGAGTTACTGATGTCAAACTTAGAGAACACTGAACTGAAGTCAATAGTGTTTGGTGGTACGTAGAATGTTGTGGCAAAGTTATTCCCTGGTGGATTACTACATAAACAGACAGTCTCATTTACTGTGGACTCTGATGAGGGCTGAAATTACAAACGAAAATACTTAACTTTACTGTTGACTCTGATGAGGGCTGAAATTACAAACGAAAATACTTAACTTTACTGTTGACTCTAGTTATGGCTGAAATTACAAACGAAAATAATTAACTTTACTGTAGACTAAGATGAGGGCTGAAATAACAAACGAAAAATACTTAACTTTACTGTGGACTCTGTCGAAGGCTAAAATTAAAAACAAAAATACTAAGCTTTTCTGACCCATAGGGGAATTTACAGTAAACAACTAACAAAATATGTAAAAAATATAATATTCACAAAATTGCATTTAGTTAAAATTTGAAATATAACCAAGCAAGCAACTATATGAAAGCCCAATATGTAGGATATTTCAGTAGCCATAATTCTATCTCCTAATTTTCTTTCCTAGGAGTAAATATTCAATAGATGTTCAAAAAGAATTTACATATAAATCTTTTTTTTTTTAATCTAAATTTTTTATGATCAATCAAATTTTTCCAATTTTTTTTCAAATCAAAATTGATCATAATTTATTTTCTTGCTGGGGTTATGTTTATTTTATGAAATGGTTGATCTGTATCCTACTTTCTCAAAATGAGGTGTTCTTAAATATCTGTCTGACACCCTGCTGTAATCCACATAAATTAGTATACTCTACCTACCTGACAAGATATTTTCTCCCATTGCTGTGCAACATCGTCCCACACATGACACCCTGTTGTAATCCACATAAATTAGTATTCTCTACCTACCTGACAAGATATTTTCTCCCATTGCTGTGTGACATCGTCCCACACATGACACCCTGTTGTAATCCACATAAATTAGTATTCTCTACCTACCTGACAAGATATTTTCTCCCATTGCTGTGCAACATCGTCCCACACATGACACCCTGTTGTAATCCACATAAATTAGTATTCTCTACCTACCTGACAAGATATTTTCTCCCATTGCTGTGCGACATCGTCCCACACACGACATCCAGTTGTAATCCACATAAATTAGTATTCTCTACCTACCTGACAAGATGTTTTCTCCCATTGTTGTGCGACATCGTCCCACACACGACATCCAGTTGTAATCCACATAAATTAGTATTCTCAACCTACCTGACAAGATGTTTTCTCCCATTGCTGTGTGACATCGTCCCCCACACAACACCCTGTTGTAATCCACATAAATTAGTATTCTCTACCTACCTGACAAGATGTTTTCTCCCATTGCTGTATGACATCGTCCCACACACGACACCCTGTTGTATTACACATAAATTAGTATTCTCTACCTACCTGACAAGATGTTTTCTCCCATTGCTGTCTGACATTGTCCCACACACGACACCCTGTTGTAATCCACATAAATTAGTATTCTCTACCTACCTGACAAGATGTTTTCTCCCATTGTTGTGCGACATCGTCCCACACACAACACCCTGTTGTAATCCACATAAATTAGTATTCTCTACCTACCTGACAAGATGTTTTCTCCCATTGTTGTGCGACATCGTCCCACACATGACACCCTGTTGTAATCCACATAAATTAGTATTCTCTACCTACCTGACAAGATATTTTCTCCGTTTGCTGTGTGACATCGTCCCACACACAACACCCTGTTGTAATCCACATAAATTAGTATTCTCTACCTACCTGACAAGATGTTTTCTCCCATTGCTGTGTGACATTGTCCCACACACAACACCCTGTTGTAATCCACATAAATTAGTATTCTCTTCCTACCTGACAAGATGTTTTCTCCCATTGTTGTGCGACATCGTCCCACACACAACACCCTGTTGTAATCCACATAAATTAGTATTCTCTACCTACCTGACAAGATGTTTTCTCCCATAGCTGTGTGACATCGTCCCACACACGACACCCTGTTGTAGTAGCCAAGACAGAATATTCTATGACAGTAGTATTTTGCTCCAGGGCTGACCTTCTCTTTCTGGATGTTGCAGTAGAATTACTGTCTAAATATATATTGAAAGGGAAAAATCTTAATCAAATGACTTGTGTTGTGGTGTATTAAATCACCATTTAAATATACAAAGCCTTTGATTGAGTTAAGCTATTTCAGTTGATATTTTATAGAGCGTCTTTCTATGTTGTGATGTTACACTATTGTTTCAGAAAAAGGGTGAAGGTTTGGTACCATTAAAACGTTTAAACCCGCTGCATTTGTTTGCACCTGTCCTAAGTCAGGAATCTGATGTTCAGTAGTTGTCGTTTGTTGATGTGGTTCATAAGTGTTTCTCGTTTTTTATATAGATTAGACCGTTGGTTTTCCCGTTTGAATGGTTTTACACTAGTAATTTTTTGGGGCCCTTTATAGCTTACTGTTCGGTGTGAGCCAAGGCTCCGTGTTGAAGACCGTACTGTGACCTATAATGGTTTACTTTTATAAATTTTGACTTGGATGGAGAGTTGTCTCATTGGCACTCATACCACATCTTCTTATTTCTAAAGAGAGTAATAATATAAAACATCATAGATACCAGACTTACAATTTTGTATGTCAGATGCGTGTTTCTACATCAGACTCAACAGTGGCATTAAAATATATGATCTTTGAAAAACATTTGTGCAAATTATGTCATAATAATGATATAGAAGACGAAAAAACATTTTATCTTGCACTGTACAAATTATGAATCACAAAGAAATGTACTTATATCAAAATTGTCCAATTTTAAAAATTATGACAAACAATCCAAAACTGAGGATGAATATATCAAACTACTACTTAATAGCAAGTGTAGAAAAACACTTTGATTAATATCATCTTTTATTAATCAATCATTTGAATTAAGGAAAAATGTCCTGACAAATGAGTAATATGAACATTATGAAGCTATAACATACAATGTATATATGTCAGTAGCCTATTCTATATTAACCTATGTATATTAATATATATATAACTGCAAATTTCATTGTTTGAAATGTGCCTATTAATATGTTATGTAGTATTGTTTAATTGCTGCATCATAACCACTTGTATACTAGTTGTATGGGCCCAATTATTGTAATTGAGTTTGTGTCAATAAAATATTTGTAAAATATTTGTATTTGTACAATATCATTGTCTTTTCAATTTGCAAATTTTCAAAACTGTAACGTTTTGTTAAGCTATATATCAGTCCAAACATTGACTTTTTGTAAAGCCATATATCAGACCTTACTTAATGCCCAGGGTTACCATTAGCTTATAAAATTATCCACCAACCTCCCAATTTTCATGAATTATCTGTTACTGAACCCACATCCAATAAATGTACAAACCTGATTCTAAAAATATCCCTATATAAACTAAAGCTGTCTCATCATATAATCCTCCACTTATTAACACACTAAATGATTCAGCAGACGTCCAATGTCCAGAGTCCACCGTTTTCTTTAAATCATATACCGACTCGGAGGGATGTAAATCTTTCCGGATATATACAACATGTTCGAGAGAACTTTCTGCATTACCTATACCCACTATGATACTGTCTTCTGGATTCCTCCAATACATTTTATACATGATCTTCTGACTCATTTCCCCATCTGAGGGTATGGCTATCTGGACTGTCAGACCATTAGATGACCCCACAGAATTTTGAAACTTGAGTTTAGAAGGTACAACCATGTTTCCATCAGTGCCTATTGACACAGAGATGGTCTCAGAGGAAATAAATTTAGACTCAGTTTTGTCCCAGGAAAATGGATTGTTCTCAAACACTGTAATCTGTAATAGATATAACCTTGTTAATATTTTCACCATTTCAATTTAGGAGGGAAAAATATACTTTCCATTATCTCATGAAAAAGTTCTACTGTTTTCATATATATATACATATAACAGATTACTACTTTTACCATAATAATGTGACAAGAAATCAAATGAACTCTCCATTATCCTGCAAGAAATTATTGTTCTAAATTGTAATTTGACAAGAAATCAAATAGACTCTCCATTATCCTCCAAGAAATAATTGTTCTGAATTATAATGTGACAAAAATTCAAATGGACTCTCCATTATCCTGCAAGAAATTATTGCTCTAAATTGTAATGTGACAAGAAATCAAATGGACTCTCCATTATCCTGCAAGAAATTATTGTTCTGAATTGTAATGTGTCTGGTTATGAGTATGGATAATTTGACAGGGGGCTCTAGACCTTGATATGGAGGATCAGATAACCATGGTTTACAGTATGACTGGATACAGACATCAAACTATAACAAGACAAAAAAGTAAATTGCTGACAATATAAGTGTTATACTGCTGATCTTTATCAGTTTTTCGCGACTTTCGCGAGTAGAAAAATAACGCGAATATAAATTGCGCGAATATGTAAAACTTGGATCTTTCCCTATTTAACTACATCAAGTAAATTAGAAAATTGCTTAATAAAATCGCCGCGAAGTGGACTAGAAAGGGCTAGACGCGAAATAAAGTATCCGTGAAAATAAGTTGGTTTACAGTAATATGATGTTTAAAATTTTTGTTGTCTGAGAGATGCCTTCATCTGTTGCCTATTTTCTTTTGTGAACATAAAGGTTAGTCCTATATTTTACTAAGAAACACAACCTTCCTACTTCAAATTTGACACACAATAATCTATAATTGTAAAACGTTTGGATTAAATTGTATAAGGGACTCAAGCCTTAATTTGGACAGATTATCATATTGCCAAACTTTGTTTGAGAGGTATATAAAAAGAATAAAATCTTGAAAATTGTGTATTTGACCTGAACTTTCTGTTCCTCAGCAATATCTACACTGGATGTAGTGAATTCTAAGTCGACTGAGTCCTGAGAAATACCATCCTTTAGTATATCTGGAATGGTCTTGTTATCCATACTGGTACTAATTCCTTCTTTCTTCACATAGACTGGTAACTGTTTCCTGTGATTCAACATTTCTAATATAGTCCCTAGGGATGTCAAGGATTGGAATATTCCTGGAGTCTCATTTTGTACCTACAAAATAAAATTTTTAGTTTTTAACTGTAGGAATTTGATAACTCAGTAATGATTGATTGGTCGTACAGCACCTAATGAATCTTAGTTTATCTGCATCATCAGCTTTCTTGTGAATCTAAATCCAGAAAAGAGCTTAGGTTTGAGCTTTTCTGATGAAGTTAAATCCAGAAAAAAGCTGGTGGATAGTTATTTCATTGGTTGGCAGTCTTATGGTGGATAGTTATTTCATTGGTTGACAGTCTTATGGTGGATAGTTATTTCATTGGTTGACAGTCTTATGGTGGATAGTTATTTCATTGGTTGGCAGTCTTATGGTAGATATTTATTTCATTGGTTGGCAGTCTTATGGTGGATAGTTATTTCATTGGTTGGCAGTCTTATGGTAGATATTTATTTCATTGGTTGGCAGTCTTATGGTGGATAGTTATTTCATTGGTTGGCAGTCTTATGGTAGATATTTATTTCATTGGTTGGCAGTCTTATGGTAGATATTTATTTCATTGGTTGGCAGTCTCATGATGGATAGTTATTTCATTGGTTGGCAGTCTTATGGTGGATAGTTATATTATTAGTTGACAGTCTTATGATGGATAATTATTTCATTGGTTGACAGTCTTATGGTGGATAGTTATTTTATTGGTAGACAGTCTTATGGTGGATAGTTATTTCATTGGTTGAAGTCTTATGGTGGATAGTTATTTCATTGGTTGACAGTCTTAGGCCAATTAAAATTAATTGATAGATTTTCATCCCCGCCCGCCCCTCTGAAATCGTTCCGCCCCAATTTTTTTTATTTTGAAAAATTTAAGATTTCCGGATTTTGTTCATTTTCGTTACCGGTAACTGTCGATAATTTCATTTCTTTAATAACTTCCTGTTTCAAATTTTGGTTTTTGCATTTCTTTTTATGTTTGATTCGTTATACATGTATATACATGATAGAACCTTATTATTACACTTGCATATATGAAGAACACGTCACAAGAGCGTTTCATATCTAATAAAAAATAAAAAATAAAATCCTCCCACCCGCCCCATTTTTTTCAAAAATTTGGATGAAAATCTACTAATTAAATTTACTTGGCCTTATGGTGGATAGTTATTTCATTGGTAGACAGTCTTATGGTGGATAGTTATTTCATTGGTAGACAGTCTTATGGTGGATAGTTATTTCATTGGTTGGCAGTCTTATGGTGGATAGTTATATTATTAGTTGACAGTCTTATGATGGATAATTATTTCATTGGTTGACAGTCTTATGGTGGATAGTTATTTCATTGGTAGACAGTCTTATGGTGGATAGTTATTTCATTGGTTGGCAGTTTTATGGTAGATAGATATTTCATTGGTTGGCAGTCTTATGGTGGATAGTTATATTATTGGTTGACAGTTTTATGGTGGATAGTTATATTATTGGTTGACAGTCTTATGGTATAGTTACTTCAATGGTTGGCAAACAAACCCCAATTCCATATATTCATATTATGTATATAAAGAGTTGTGTTAGCTCTAAAAAGTCACTGATCCATGAAAATGAGGTAACATTTGTTGCCAGTGAGCTAAACACTTTTTGTAATAACATGTTAAAAGGATGTTCAAGAAATGAATGAAATACAATTAAAAGGAAAGGTAAAATATCATTGTCTACAATCTTGACCTAAACATGAAAGTTACTCAAGTATGAAATGTAGCAGATGGTATACACAATTTAGTAAATTTGTAAAAATTGTACTTTAAAAGAGAATTACACTTGACGTTATTTTCTTAAATTTTGCTTTCACTTTGATCTTATTTTGTGATAATTTTACATATCAGGCTACTGCTACTCGAGTGATCAATAATATTTTTGATTCCTAAGACATGATCCTTAAACTTTTTTTCAATAATTAAGAATAAAAGTTAGGTTGAAGTAACTTAAAATGTTGTTCTGAATGTTGTAGAATTTAAGAAAATATCATTGGAATAACTGGTTTCTAAAATAATAGACTTATAATATCAAAAGTACCAGATAGACAAGTCAATGTACATGCATTAAAACAGCCTTATTTGAACATAAAAAAAGTTCGGAGTTTTGAATTGGATGCTTTATAAACTCAATCTAAAAAATTTCATACAAAAAACATGCTTAATCAAAATTTCTACTATCTTGAGTTCTGAGGTTTTAATACAACTACCACAGCTTTCAACTAAATTGCTTGATGCCAAATTCACAATCCTTTTTTTAGCCATTTGGCAGTTACATCTCAGTTTTTCCACAAAAAAATTCAAAGACTTTTCCATATAGACATTTGTGTTGATAATCAAACATAATAGTGACAGTTGTCATGGAAACCAATAACCTTTCAACTTACATCTAGACTTTTATCCTCTAATTTAAGTTGTTTTTTCAGAGCTATTTGTGTTGCTATGTAGGCTCTTTCCATCGTTGTCATGTCAACCATATCTGTTCCATTAGTTTCATTTTTAGCAAATTGTTTTTTGAAAGACAAATCCTGCTGCAGACTATAGATATCTATTGACGACGGAACGTCTGCTGACAAGTCTGGTAAGATCCCATTTAAAGCATTACTTAATACTCTTATTATTCCTGAAACATAGTAGGAGATTTAAACACTTTTGAAAAATTAAACAACTTGTAAAGACGTATCATAGGGGAAGATTCTGTGGACCTTTCATGAAAAGCAGAAATAGTTTTCCAATTCAATTAATACCATTTCCTAAACTCTCATATCATCTAGACCTTCCAAAGCCATATATTTGATTTGTTGTTAAAACAGGCTCTTTAAAAAGTATAAAAGAATATAAAAGAATATATGCTAAACATATACAAATACAAATACAAATATTTTTATTGGCACAAACTCATTAACAATAAATGGTTATAAATTATAAGACCTATTGCATACATATAATTATATTAATTGACATGGTAGAATGAAAAATTACATGATAACATATCATTATAGAATGAAAATATCAGCATCTCCTTTTATCAATGACTGAAATAATATAAAATTTCTAGATATAGCAGTTTTTTTTTTTATAAAAGTTTACAGGCAAATAAATGTTAAAACAAATGGCTTGTATTAAGGGTGTAAACCTAAACTTTCAGATGTTAAAATATAATGATAAATCTTCATACTTGGAATATAAATATCAGTTGTATTTATGTTGTACCAAAACTACATACCTTCAGATGTTGAAATATAATCTTCATACTTGGGACACAAATATCAGTTGTATTTATGTTGAAAAAAACCAACATACCTTCAGATGTTGAAATATAATCTTCATACTTTGGATAAGCATCAGTCGAACTTAAGTTGATGAATTTATCAATTAACCTTCTATTTCCCTCAAAGGCTTTGGACTGAAACAAAACAAACATATTTCTAAAAAACATTCCAAGGAAAGGAAAAAGGAAAGACTAGTAAATGATATATTTTTTTACTTATTGGTGTGGAGTTGACAATTATTGATATAAATGACAGCTCTTTTGTTATTTATTTTATAAGTGTGTAATAAAGTGCACCTTTGCTTAGTGATTTGAGGTATTTATCAAGTGCTCTTACTGCAGAGGTTTGGACAATATAATCATTTATATGAATGACACCTCCCTTTCCTATTTTAATAAAATGCAATTTTTCTTATTGATTTTTAAAGTACCTTGGTTAATGTAGGTAAAAGAGAGCACCTTTTCATATCAATTTGATGAATTTATCAGTTTTAAGACATTTTTTACTTACAACTGAGGAGCTAACAACATAAAACCTGTTAACTATGAAGTTCCCATGCTGGTGTTTACTATCTAATGTAGGTTGGTTAATGTAGCTAATAGAGAGCACCTTTTCCTATTGATTTGAAGAATTTACCTTTCAGGTCATATAGCTCCTAATGTTGAAGCATATTCACATATCCCTGGCATTCAAATGTAGACTTAAGGGTTCCTAATTAAGAAAAGCTGAAATGCACTTTATACACACTAAACTTATATAGAGTTTATTATATATAAAAGTGTAAGACATTTTCTACTTACTGCTGATGAGTTGACGACATAATCCTTGTTTTGTATGACTGTTCCAATACTGGTTACCATTTGTCAAATGTTAGTTTATGTGGGTAATAAAGTGCACCTATAGAGACTTGAAGGATTTAACAGTGTAAGACATTTTCTACTTACTGCTGATGAGTTGATGACATAATCCTTGTTTTCTGTAACTGTTCCCATACTGGTTACCATTTGTCAAATGTTAATTTACATGGGTAATAGAGTGCACCTATAGTGACTTGAAGGATTTAACAGTGTATTAAGACATTTTCTACTTACTGCTGATGAGTTGATGACATAATCCTTGTTTTCTGTAACTTTTCCCATACTGGTTACCATTTGTCAAATGTTAATTTACATGGGTAATAGAGTGCACCTATAGCGACTTGAAAAATTTAACAGTGTAAGGCATTTTCTACTTCCTGCTATTGAGTTGATGACATAATCCTTGTTTTCTGTAACTGTTCCCATACTGGTTACCACTTGCAAAATGTTGGTTTACATGGATAATAGAGTGCACCTATAGTGACTTGAAGGATTTAACAGTGTATTAAGACATTTTCTACTTACTGCTGATGAGTTGATGACATAATCCTTGTTTTCTGTAACTGTTCCCATACTGGTTACCATTTGTCAAATGTTAATTTACATGGGTAATAGAGTGCACCTATAGTGACTTGAAAGATTTAACAGTGTAAGGCATTTTCTACTTACTGATGATGAGTTGATGACATAATCCTTGTTTTCTACAACTGTTCCCATACTGGTTACTATTTGTCAAATGTTGATTTACGCGAGTAATAGAGTGCACCTATAGTGACTTGAATGATTTAAAAGTGTAAGACATTTTCTACTTACTGCTGATGAGTTGCAGACATAATCTCTGTTTTCTATGACTGTTCCCATACTGGTTACTATTTGTCAAATGTTGATTTACATGGGTAATAGAGTGCACCTTTAGTGATTCGAAGGATTTAATAGTGTAAGACATTTTCTACTAACTGCTGATGAGTTGATGACATAATCCTTGTTTTCTACGACTGTTCCCATACTGGTTACTATTTGTCAAATGTTGATTTACGTGAGTAATAGAGTGCACCTTTAGTGACTTGAAGGATTTAAAGTGTAAGACATTTTCTACTTACTGCTGATGAGTTGAAAACATAATCTCTGTTTTCTATGACTGTTCCCATACTGGTTACTATTTGTCAAATGTTGATTTACATGGGTAATAGAGTGCACCTTTAGTGATTTGAAGGATTTAAAAGTGTAAGCCATTTTCTACTTACGGCTGATGAGTTGATGACATAATCCTTGTTTTCTATGACTGTTCCCATACTGGTTACTATTTGTCAAATGTTGATTTACGTGGGTAATAGAGTGCACCTTTAGTGATTTGAAGGATTTAACAGTGTAAGACATTTTCTACTTACTGCTGATGAGTTGATGACATAATCTCTGTTTTCTATGACTGTTCCCATACTGGTTACTATTTGACGTATGTTGGTTATAGAGTTAGCCTCCATTTCAGTTGATACTTTATCAAGTACATTAGAGAAATTAGACAAGGCCTGTAAAATATTTGTATGTATTGTGAATTCAAAAAATTTTAGCCAGTTTTTCATTTCTTAGTTTTTGAAAATAAGAAATGTCAAAAACTGTAAGAAAAACAATTATTGACAGAAGGGAGAAGGGGCTGTAACTCATTTAGACAATGCTTTATGAAAATGAAAATAATAATGGGAAATGCATAAATCAAGAAATATAAATGATTTTGACCTGATTTTTAATGTTGTGATGACATAATTTCTTAATTATATTGTCTAAATCATGACAATGAAGAACAATTCTGATTAGCTACCAATTTCCATCTGTATTTCCTCTAAGGAAATATTTTGCACAATCAAGAAACAAAATAACTTTAGTGAAGCATAATTCTTAAAGCTATTTACTTATCTCTCTAAATATATAGTTTTGTCTCCTATGTACATATACCTTTTTTAATCCAAAATATACTCTGAAGATGATTAATAACAAGAAAAACATAATATTTTTCTAAATTTTTAAGGTTTGGCAATAGTTATATTCACTTTTCACGTAGCCATGTTAGGGCAAATTTTTCGATCATGTATGGTTACTTTGAAATTTGCAGCTAATGTTGGGCCAAGTATAAGCTGTTTTGCCTGGTTACTTTATAATTTTCAGTTAATGTTGGGCCAAGTATGCTTTTTAGTCTGGTTACTTTATAATTTTCAGTTAATGTTGGGCCAAGTATAAGCTTTTTAGTCTGGTTACTTTATAATTTTCAGTTAATGTTGGGCCAAGTATAAGCTGTTTTGCCTGGTTACTTTATAATTTTCAGTTAATGTTGGGCCAAGTATAAGCTGTTTTGCCTGGTTACTTTATAATTTTCAGTTAATGTTGGGCCAAGTATAAGCTGTTTTGCCTGGTTACTTTATACTTTTCAGTTAATGTTGGGCCAAGTATGCTTTTTAGTCTGGTTACTTTATAATTTTCAGTTAATGTTGGGCCAAGTATAAGCTTTTTAGTCTGGTTACTTTATAATTTTCAGTTAATGTTGGGCCAAGTATAAGCTGTTTTGCCTGGTTACTTTATAATTTTCAGTTAATGTTGGGCCAAGTATAAGCTGTTTTGCCTGGTTACTTTATAATTTTCAGTTAATGTTGGGCCAAGTATAAGCTGTTTTGCCTGGTTACTTTATAATTTTCAGTTAATGTTGGGCCAAGTATAAGCTGTTTTGCCTGGTTACTTTATGGTTTTCAGTTAATGTTGGGCCAAGTATAAGCTGTTTTGCCTGGTTACTTTATAATTTTCAGTTAATGTTGGGCCAAGTATAAGCTGTTTTGCCTGGTTACTTTATAATTTTCAGTTAATGTTGGGCCAAGTATAAGCTGTTTTGCCTGGTTACTTTATAATTTTCAGTTAATGTTGGGCCAAGTATAAGCTGTTTTGCCTGGTTACTTTATAATTTTCAGTTAATGTTGGGCCAAGTATAAGCTGTTTTGCCTGGTTACTTTATAATTTTCAGTTAATGTTGGGCCAAGTATAAGCTGTTTTGCCTGGTTACTTTATAATTTTCAGTTAATGTTGGGCCAAGTATAAGCTGTTTAGCCTGGTTACTTTATAATTTTCAGTTAATGTTGGGCCAAGTATGCTTTTTAGTCTGGTTACTTTATAATTTTCAGTTAATGTTGGGCCAAGTATAAGCTGTTTTGCCTGGTTACTTTATAATTTTCAGTTAATGTTGGGCCAAGTATAAGCTGTTTTGCCTGGTTACTTTATAATTTTCAGTTAATGTTGGGCCAAGTATAAGCTGTTTTGCCTGGTTACTTTATAATTTTCAGTTAATGTTGGGCCAAGTATGAGCTGTTTTGCCGACTTCTTTTACCCACATGTTGTATAACATCTGTGGAATCTTCTTGTGGTGGATTCTGGTAGATTTCCCACAATTCATCAAAATTGTATTGTCTTGTGCTACCGTCAGACAGTTCCTGGTACCCAAGATTGACCCAGTCACTGGGGTCAACATCTACAGCTGTTACTGGTACTTGCTGTAAAGATAGAATATTTCAAGCTATAGGCTGGAGTAATAGTTGGATTTGACAAAATAACTGTTATTTAACAGTGTAGAAACAATATCAGCCATTCTTCGGAGGTAGAATAATGTGATGTAAATTTAGAGATCCTTTAATAGTTTCCTGGCTTTTATCCACTTCCAGATACCTAATGGGTGAATTTAATGAATAAAGTTAATATCCATTCTGGATTAAATGTTATATATACCCATTGCCAGATAATTTATTAGTTGTTACCAGCTGGCTGATATAATTATTCCATCTGGATATGTAAAAAGAAAGACAGAATTTTCCTTTCTGTCTCAGATAAGTTATCCAGTAAATGAAATTATCCTTACTATGAGCTATCCAGTGGATAAAATGTTCCAGATAATTTATCTGTAGCTATCAGGACATCAGTTATCTGTTAAGAATGGTAATTTAACCAGTATTCAGTGGTTTGTAAAATACAGTTGGTAGGTTGTCCTTGGAGTAGGAGAGTTGTCTGTTACGTCCCTGTGTTAGTCATGCAGTAATGAGTTATCTGTTCAGGAAAATGCTTATTTGGGAGTTAGTATTTCAGATACTGGTTTCCTAGAATAAAACCAGGGGCATTCAGGGTTGGGCTATATTTCATTGAGACAGCAATCCAATGACAAAAGTTACCAAAAGACATCTAAAAAAACAGTTTTGTATTGAAACTAATTTAGCTAATAAGTGACTGTGATAATTTCAAGTTAAGTACCGGTATTCAAGTCCATTTGGTAATAATTTAATTTTGGATGTAACGCGTCTTCTGATTGGCTGACGTTGTTTTGTTTATCAGCTCATAGACATAATTTTGTCATGTGACCGTGACGTCATCAACGTTTTTTCATGGTTTACTCCGGTTTAAAATGGAATTAAGAATTAAATTATAATAAAAGACTGTAATATTTCTTCTGTCCATTCGAAATAACATAAAAAATGTGGTGCACACTTAAAAATAACCCGCTACGCGGGTTATTCAGTGTGCACCACATTTTTGATGTTATTTCTTCATAGACAGAAAAAATATTACAGTCATTCCTTAAATACATGTAACCATATTTTGTATACAAAATATTCTAACCTGAAATGGCTTCTTTCTCCTTCTGAGCTCAAATTCGTGAAGGTGGCTACAGCCACTTCAGAATGCATTGCCACCTATTTACAACTACCTTTTCTGTAGAGATACTAACCAAATTAGTAACAGTGGCTCCAGCCACTTCAGTATTCATTGCCACCAGTTTATAACTGCCTGTTTGGTAATAATATTCTATATCAGTACTTGAATCTTTGATGTAAGCTGAGATATCCTGGATATTACCTGCGTCTGCAACAGGAGGTCTTAACTGAAATCGTAAGAATTATACCAGTTATTTACTGAGTAGATTAATCAGTCATTATTCCATACCTGTTAAAACCTAAGTCGACAGGTCAACACTAATATTTCTACTCTAAATCAGCAACTTTTCACAAATAATCAGTCATGAGCATTAATACTTGGTCTTGAACATTTCAGTATAACTTAAAATCAGTTTAAATCATAACACTTTTTTTTTAAAGAGCCAAAGGCATGTAATCGATCAGAATATCAACACCATGGAAATTGGCATGGATATTTCAGGCACTGAATTCAATGTTTTATACAGTTACATAAAACACCATCCACCTAGAAATGGCACAATAATTTCGGGATAAGTATACATATTTTCATCTTAATACTAATCTCCCCATACGGCCATGCACTAATGTTTGTATAAAAATATTCAATGACTAACACTAGTGGCACTTTTGTTGTAATCTATAATTTGAATTAAAACAACTTTTTACTATTAGGGCTATTTCAAAAGGATAAAGTGCTTATTTAATTATGCAGCTTAAATTTTTTAAATATTTAGAAAATCTGCCTCTCTTAATTTCATTTTTTACCTTGCAGATATACTTACATTACCAATCTGTAAAGTACATGTAGCATAATCTTTAAATATATCGTAAATCTGTATTTCTAATGTAACTGTGTAACTGTCAACTTCCAAACCAGGTTTTATCTTTATATGGCTGACTGCTTCATCTAGAAATATCAAATCATAGATCTTTAATAGATAAATACAGATAAAACACAATATATATCACAAAAGTAGAGAAAACGAAAATACCAGTGAAGTTTGGAGTAAAAAACCTTGGTTAAGAAAAGACAGAACTTGTCAATGTAAGAAGATACAACTTACAAAACACAACACATTACACAGAAAATATACGTATTAGACATGAGTGATCTTGGGAGTCACTAGGTTGATATTGGGAGTTATCTTGTGTGATCTTGGGAGTGATCTCTGTGTTTGCTATTCCTACTTACACCCATAATACAGTAAAGATGAGTCCTCAGAGTTGACTTGATCTATTCGATAGTTAAGCTGTTCTTTCCAATCTATTCTTTTATCTCTTCTGTCTCTAAATCCTTCATCTTTCCAACCACTAGCTGTCACTTGCCATTGATCAGCTAAAAAAACAAGGTATGCTCTGTTAATATCAAATGTCAAAATGACAGACAAAATATTTAGAAAGATTAAAATACATAAATACAAATCAACTAAGCTAATGACAGTATCAAAGATAATAGTGTGTACTAAGGACCAAGGTATACATTATATTCTTTATAGTGGCTAAATCCAAAAAGTACTTCCACCCACCATGCCGGTGTGTACTTTAAGGGCCTATAGCATCATAGAATATAGAAATACATTTTATTCTACCACAATAATATACTTTTTACCAATCCACAAACTGCACTACTGCAGGCAACAAGATAATCTGAATCCAGGCCACACATTAGTAAACTAAGCCAAAAGCTAAAATTTGACTGCTACTTCAGAAGACCACACATCATTTTAACACAGGCCACATATAAAATCAAACTGAAGTACTGAACATCGGATGACTGCAAGTTCTTGTGGATGGTCACAAGCACTTGTCTCAGAAAAAAATCACATCTCTATAACTTGAAAGTGAAGTTAATGTACAGAGATATATTTTTTTCTGAGACAAGTTTGTGCATGGATGATGAATAAATGACAGGGAATTCCACCTCACCGTTATAACTATTATATTGTAGTGATACAAATCAGTATACTTTGGTTTGTTGTTATATATTATATTAATATTTGTATAAAACAGTTACATGTATATATGATTTTCATCCATTTGTATATCATTCTATTCTACTGTTCTAATAATAGTGCAGTGCAAGTGCATGGTGGACACTCTTCTGTAATAATTCGATTTTTCTAATAGATTGGATTTGATTAGGCATTCATATTTTCCTGCAAAACGTTCTTGAGATATTCTTCCACATGCGTTAACACAATTTTTCTGTACATGTGCATAGATATTAATGAGTTTTTTACTTATATATATATATATATATTTCTAACGACAAAACATTTTCATATTATTAATTTATGTTCTAAAAAAAAATATTTATGAGTATCCATTGAAGAAATGAATTTATAACAAGCGATAAGGAATGTTATTTTGCACTCGATAATGTCTGCGTATTTATAGATCGGTAACCAGTCAAAAACAAAAGTTTCGTAAGTAGAAATCTCTGTGGCAACATTAATACATCGGAATGCCCTCACGGTCATCGCAATGTAAAACTAGAGGCTCTCAAGAGCCTGTGTCGCTCACCTGTATTTACTGATGCTTTGGAAATCATGTAAAATAAGGTTAAAATCATAATTAATGGTATTAGATATTAGATATTATAATGATATTTAAGATCATAACAAAAAACTGTAAAATTTCTGTAAAATTACTAACTCAGGGGCAGCAACCCAACAACGGGTTGTCGGATTCGTCTGAAAATTTCAGGGCAGATAAATCTAAATCTGATGAACATTTTTGACACCTGTCAGATTTGCTCTAAATGCTTTAGTTTCAGAGATATAAACCAAAAACTGCATTTTACCCCTATGTTCTATTTTTAACCAAGTCGGCCATGATGGTTGGAAGGCGGGGTCATCGGACAAATTTTTTAAACTAGATACCCTAATAATGATTATGGCCAAGTATGGTTAAATTTGTCTCAGTAGTTTCAGGGAAGAAAATTTTTGTAGAAGATTACAAAAATTTACGAAAAATTGTTAAAAATTGACTATAAAGGGCAATAACTCCTAAAGGGGTCGACTGACAATTTTGGTCATGACAACTTATTTGTAGATCTTACTTTGCTGAACATTATTGCTGTTTACAGTTTATCTCTATCTATAATAATATTCAAGATAATAACCAAAGACTGCATAATTTCCTTAAAATTACCAATTCAGGGGCAGCAACCCAACAACAGGTTGTCAGATTTGTCTGAAAATTTCAGGGCAAATAGATCTTGACCTGATAATCAGTTTTATCCTTGTCAGATTTACTCTAAATGCTTTGGTTTCAGAGATATAAGCCAAAATCTACATTTTACCCCTATGTTCTATTTTTAGCCATGGCAGCCATTTTGGTTAGTTGGCGGGGTCATCAGACACATTTTTTAAACTAGATACCCTAATGATGATTGTGGCCAAGTTTGGTTAAATTTGGCCAAGTAGTTTCAGAGGAGAAGATTTTTGTAAAAGTTAACGGACGAAGGACGACGACGGATGACGGACGCCAAGTGATGAGAAAAGGGCCAGGTGAGCTAAAAATGAGTTCACATAACCCTCCAAAAGAAATATACACTGTAGTAATAACTAACTAAATTTCTCATGAAAAACAAGACTAAAGTACTCACCAAAATGAGAACTACTTTTCCACGTCACAAAATCCTCCATAAGGGAGATAATCTGTAGTGACGACCAACATTAAAGTACTCACCAAAATGAGAACTACGTTCCACACGACAAGACCCTCCATAAGGGAGATAATCTGTAGTGACAACCAACATTAAAGTACTCACCAAAATGAGAACTACATTCCACAAGACAAGACCCTTCATAAGGGAGATAATCTGTAGTGACAATCAACATTAAAGTACTCACCAAAATGAGAACTATGTTCCACACGACAAGACCCTCCATAAGGGAGATAATCTGTAGTGACAACCAACATTAAAGTACTCACCAAAATGAGAACTACGTTCAACACAACAAGACCCTCCATAAGGAATAGAATCTGTAGTAACAACCAACATTAAGTACTCACCAAAATGAGAACTACGTTCCACACGACAAGACCCTCCATATGGGAGATAATCTGTAGTAACAACCAACATTAAAGTTCCTCACCAAAACGAGAACTACATTCCACACAACAAGACCCTCCATAAGGAAGATAATCTGTAGTAACAACCAACATTAAGTACTCATCAAAATGAGAACTACGTTCCACACGACAAGACCCTCCATAAGGGAGATAATCTGTAGTGACAACCAACATTAAAGAACTCACCAAAACAAGAACTACGTTTCACATGACAAGACCCTCCATAAGGGAGATAATATGTAGGGACAACCAACATAAAAGTACTCACCAAAATGAGAACTATGTTCCACACGACAAGACCCTCCATAAGGGAGATAATCGGTAGTTACAATCCACATACTCTTACTCAGTCTTCCACCCAGCAAGGTAATAGTAGCCTCTATAATATAACCTTGGTTCTGCGCAAGTCCTGCTTTCATCACAAACCGTCTGTTGTTAGTATCTATTAAATAAAAGAAATGATCAGTTCTTCAAATGGTTGGGTTGCACAGAACGTTTCTTCAACAATGGAGAAGGGTTTATAATAAACATTCAAATATATGGAAATATTTAAAGAAGAAAACTTTTTCAAACAACTCTATAATGAGAGGTTCGGAACTTAAGAATAAGTGCAAACTTGCTGTGAAAACTGCATGAATTGATACACAAAATTGATACATGATTGACAGCTGTTTGAAAATTTTGATGAGAAAAGTTGGAAAATTCTTCAATTTTAAGCTAAAAAAAGATTGACTGTACCAAGTCAGGAATATGATGGTTGTTCTCCATTCATTCTATTGTCTGTACCAAGTCAGGAATATGACAGTTGTTCTCCATTCATTCTATTGTCTGTACCAAGTCAGGAATATGACAGTTGTTCTCCATTCATTCTATTGTCTGTACCAAGTCAGGAATATGACAGTTGTTCTCCATTCATTCTATTGTCAGTACCAAGTCAGGAATATGACAGTTGTTCTCCTGTACCAAGTCAGGAATATGACAGTTGTTCTCCTGTACCAAGTCAGGAATATGACAGTTGTTCTCCATTCATTCTATTGTCTGTACCAAGTCAGGAATATGACAGTTGTTCTCCTGTACCACGTCAGGAATATGACAGTTGTTCTCCTGTACCAAGTCAGGAATATGACAGTTGTTCTCCTGTACCAAGTCAGGAATATGACAGTTGTTCTCCTGTACCAAGTCAGGAATATGACAGTTTTTCTCCATTCATTCTATTGTCTGTACCAAGTCAGGAATATGACAGTTGTTCTCCTGTACCAAGTCAGGAATATGACAGTTGTTCTCCTGTACCAAGTCAGGAATATGACAGTTGTTCTCCATTCATTCTATTGTCTGTACCAAGTCAGGAATATTACAGTTGTTCTCCATTCATTCTATTGTCTGTACCAAGTCAGGAATATGACAGTTGTTCTCCTGTACCAAGTCAGGAATATGACAGTTGTTCTCCTGTACCAAGTCAGGAATATGACAGTTGTTCTCCATTCATTCTATTGTCTGTACCAAGTCAGGAATATGACAGTTGTTCTCCATTCATTCTATTGTCTGTACCAAGTCAGGAATATGACAGTTGTTCTCTATTCATTCTATTGTCTGTACCAAGTCAGGAATATGACAGTTGTTTTCCATTCATTCTATTGGTTGTACCAAGTCAGGAATATGACAGTTGTTCTCTATTCATTCTATTGTCTGTACCAAGTCAGGAATATGACAGTTGTTTTCCATTCATTCTATTGGTTGTACCAAGTCAGGAATATGACAGTTGTTCTCTATTCATTCTATTGTCTGTACCAAGTCAGGAATATGACTGTTGTTCTCCATTCATTCCATTTACTGTACCAAGTCAGGAATATGACAGTTGTTCTCTATTCATTCTATTGTCTGTACCAAGTCAGGAATATGACTGTTGTTCTCCATTCATTCCATTTACTGTACCAAGTCAGGAATATGACAGTTGTTCTCCTGTACCAAGTCAGGAATATGACAGTTGTTCTCCTGTACCAAGTCAGGAATATGACAGTTGTTCTCCATTCATTCTATTGTCTGTACCAAGTCAGGAATATGACAGTTGTTCTCCTGTACCAAGTCAGGAATATGACAGTTGTTCTCCTGTACCAAGTCAGGAATATGACAGTTGTTCTCCATTCATTCTATTGTCTGTACCAAGTCAGGAATATGACAGTTGTTCTCTATTCATTCTATTGTCTGTACCAAGTCAGGAATATGACTGTTGTTCTCCATTCATTCCATTTACTGTACCAAGTCAGGAATATGACAGTTGTTCTCCTGTACCAAGTCAGGAATATGACAGTTGTTCTCCTGTACCAAGTCAGGAATATGACAGTTGTTCTCCATTCATTCTATTGTCTGTACCAAGTCAGGAATATGACAGTTGTTCTCCTGTACCAAGTCAGGAATATGACAGTTGTTCTCCTGTACCAAGTCAGGAATATGACAGTTGTTCTCCATTCATTCTATTGTCTGTACCAAGTCAGGAATATGACAGTTGTTCTCTATTCATTCTATTGTCTGTACCAAGTCAGGAATATGACAGTTGTTCTCCTGTACCAAGTCAGGAATATGACAGTTGTTCTCCTGTTCCAAGTCAGGAATATGACAGTTGTTCTCCTGTACCAAGTCAGGAATATGACAGTTGTTCTCCATTCATTTTATTGTCTGTACCAAGTCAGGAATATGACGGTTGTTCTCCATTCATTCTATTGACTGTACCAAGTCAGGAATATGACAGTTGTTCTCTATTCATTCTATTGTCTGTACCAAGTCAGGAATATGACAGTTGTTCTCCTGTACCAAGTCAGGAATATGACAGTTGTTCTCCTGTACCAAGTCAGGAATATGACAGTTGTTCTCCTGTACCAAGTCAGGTATATGACAGTTGTTCTCCTGTACCGTCAGGAATATGACAGTTGTTCTCCTGTACCAATTCAGGAATATGACAGTTGTTCTCCATTCATTCTATTGTCTGTACCAAGTCAGGAATATGACAGTTGTTCTCCTGTACCAAGTCAGGAATATGACAGTTGTTCTCCTGTACCAAGTCAGGAATATGATAGTTGTTCTCTATTCATTCTATTGTCTGTACCAAGTCAGGAATATGACAGTTGTTCTCCATTCATTCTATTGTCTGTACCAAGTCAGGAATATGACAGTTGTTCTCCTGTACCAAGTCAGGAATATGACAGTTGTTCTCCATTCATTCTATTGTCTGTACCAAGTCAGGAATATGACAGTTGTTCTCCTGTACCAAGTCAGGAATATGACAGTTATTCTCCTGTACCAAGTCAGGAATATGACAGTTGTTCTCCATTCATTCTATTGTCTGTTCCAAGTCAGGAATATGACAGTTGTTCTCCTGTACCAAGTCAGGAATATGACAGTTGTTCTCTATTCATTCTATTGTCTGTACCAAGTCAGGAATATGACAGTTGTTCTCCTGTACCAAGTCAGGAATATGACAGTTGTTCTCCTGTACCAAGTCAGGAATATGACAGTTGTTCTCCTGTACCAAGTCAGGAATATGACAGTTGTTCTCCATTCATTTTATTGTCTGTACCAAGTCAGGAATATGACGGTTGTTCTCCATTCATTCTATTGACTGTACCAAGTCAGGAATATGACAGTTGTTCTCCATTCATTCTATTGTCTGTACCAAGTCAGGAATATGACAGTTGTTCTCCTGTACCAAGTCAGGAATATGACAGTTGTTCTCCTGTACCAAGTCAGGAATTTGATAGTTGTTCTCTATTCATTCTATTGTCTGTACCAAGTCAGGAATATGACAGTTGTTCTCCATTCATTCTATTGTCTGTACCAAGTCAGGAATATGACAGTTGTTCTCCTGTACCAAGTCAGGAATATGACAGTTGTTCTCCATTCATTATATTGTCTGTACCAAGTCAGGAATATGACAGTTGTTCTCCTGTACCAAGTCAGGAATATGACAGTTGTTCTCCTGTACCAAGTCAGGAATATGACAGTTGTTCTCTATTCATTCTATTGGTTGATAAAGTGGAGAATCTAGTTGATGTAAAACAGATAAAACAAACAGTAAGTAATGACAACCACTAAATTACAGCCTTCTGAGAAGGTAGAGGCACATATAAAATGTGGCAAAATTAAACTTATTTCTTCAACCCTCAACAATTTCAATGTAATGCCAACTTTCCATGAGGACATTTTACAATAGCCTTGCAGTATTAGGGAAACATATTGGTCAATTAAACAACTTTTTAATGACAGGAGACTCATAATTTAATTATGTTTGCTTTGTTTTTTGCATTTTATCATATGCTTCTTAGGTATTATTTGTTCAAACTTAAAAGTTTGATTGCATATAAAAACAAAAATTAGTAGAATTCACAATTATAATACAGCTTTAATGAAATCAATTAAAAAACTGAAAAGCAGACACTTTTCAACTTTTGTTGAAAAAAGAAACTAGATTTCAGTCATAAAATGCACTTTTATAGATCCTGTACTACTAATTCTTTTACTAGTCAAAATATCTTTCTATTTCAGTTGTCAAGATAATTATGCAGTTACGTCAAAATATTTAAAAAAAAATTATATACATGATATAGGGATATCAACTTAAAGGGGCACTAGCTGTCAAATTCATGTTTACCGATTTGACTCAAATTCTCATATTTGATTTATAACAATGTAAAACATTTATCCAAATTATAAAAAGTCTAAAATAAACAATATACCGGGCATGGGCTCAATAATATGTAGCTTCGTTTCGTGTGTATTTTAGTCTAGACCCTATCTAATTAACTGTCAATGTCGAGTTGGCCTCTGAAGACCTCCGATTGCCATATAAGCGATATAAACATAAATATAGATATAAACAGATATCAGACTTGTGCATTTGGATTTTTCTAGGTCTGTTTAATTTCATATTATAGATTAAAAATATATGTTAATCATCGTTTTTACCTGTATAAGAATGTTTTTTTGTGGATCGAATCAGTCAATTAAATGATTTACCTTTGTTTCACTTTCAATGTTGACATTCTTTTCCTTTAAATAATTGAACACGCACAATGCATGCGGTAACAATCTCTAGCTAAGGGGTTAAATTGAAGTTCACATAAATACGGATTCAATGAGGTCGAATTATTCACTTGCAAGTGAATAATTCATCATCAATGTTTCTAAGCTTATTTTGACAAAATTGAACCATTCTGGCTGCTGAAAGCAATATATTATTTCACTATTTCACTTTCATTAATGATTGAACAAACAAAAAATCGTACTTTAGATTTTTTATATATCTCGTAGCTAGTGCCCCTTTAAGTTCAGTTTTTGCTTGTATATTTTTTTATAGATGAGAGACTATGATAGGTCAAAAGTCATCATTTAAAGGTAGTTACTCCTATAAATAGTCAATAAATAGTTCCAGTCATATTATCAATATTGTAGTTTCATCTAACCATGACCTTTTCATAGTTCTTGCAATGCTAATTAAATTTGCTGTTTCCGCCTATACGTGAAAGTATTCAAGTTAATATTATAAATTAAACATTGAACATTTGTATTAAAAAAAAAAAAAAAAATAGAAATTACAAATGTATTTAAATACAAAAACAGAATAGAAAAATTTTGAACTTTTATTGTAAAGCAAAAAAAAATACTTTTAAATCTATTTTTAAACTAAGATTATTATAAGATATCATATCTAGAGGTATTATCAGTCATTTAAATGTTTACTGGTTACATAGATCATGTATAAACATGTCTTAATAAACTTCCTGGTACAAACAAAATTTTGGGAAAATGACAGAGAAGAATTAAAGTAGAGTAGAAAACTATACAGATGAAGTGATATTTACCTAAAATCAAGAGGTACACTTTATACTTTTATTTTGGGTATATGTTTGTAAAACTAATATTGTTAATGTAATCTTATTGGAGAATATTGTACATAGTAAAATAAGGGGTAATATTCCTATAACAATTATTTCACTTTTAATTTAAGGAATACTCAGACAATAGATATCTCTTCTAGTAAGATAATTCCCCAATACTCCTACACTTACCTTTTTCGTAAGACAATACTAATACAAGATCTTCTAGTAAGATAATTCCCCAATACTCCTACAATTACCCTATTCGTAAGACAATACTAATACAAGATCTTCTAGTAAGATAATTCCCCAATACTCCTACAATTACCCTATTCGTAAGACAATACTAATACAAGATCTTCTAGTAAGATAATTCCCCAATACTCCTACAATTACCCTTTTCGTAAGACAATACTAATACAAGATCTTCTAGTAAGATAATTCCCCAATACTCCTACAATTACCCTATTCGTAAGACAATACTAATACAAGATCTTCTCGTAAGATAATTCCCCAATACTCCTACAATTACCCTTTTCGTAAGACAATACTAATACAAGATCTTCTAGTAAGATAATTCCCCAATACTCCTACAATTACCCTTTTCGTAAGACAATACTAATACAAGATCTTCTAGTAAGATAATTCCCCAATACTCCTACAATTACCCTTTTCGTAAGACAATACTAATACAAGATCTTCTAGTAAGATAATTCCCCAATACTCCTACAATTACCCAATTCGTAAGACAATACTAATACAAGATCTTCTAGTAAGATAATTCCCCAATACTCCTACAATTACCCTATTCGTAAGACAATACTAATACAAGATCTTCTAGTAAGATAATTTCCCAATACTCCTACAATTACCCTTTTCGTAAGACAATACTAATACAAGATCTTCTAGTAAGATAATTCCCCAATACTCCTACAATTACCCTATTCGTAAGACAATACTAATACAAGATCTTCTAGTAAGATAATTCCCCAATACTCCTACAATTACCCTTTTCGTAAGACAATACTAATACAAGATCTTCTAGTAAGATAATTCCCCAATACTCCTACAATTACCCTATTCGTAAGACAATACTAATACAAGATCTTCTAGTAAGATAATTTCCCAATACTCCTACAATTACCCTTTTCGTAAGACAATACTAATACAAGATCTTCTAGTAAGATAATTCCCCAATACTCCTACAATTACCCTATTCGTAAGACAATACTAATACAAGATCTTCTAGTAAGATAATTCCCCAATACTCCTACAATTACCCTTTTCGTAAGACAATACTAATACAAGATCTTCTAGTAAGATAATTCCCCAATACTCCTACAATTACCCTTTTCGTAAGACAATACTAATACAAGATCTTCTAGTAAGATAATTCCCCAATACTCCTACAATTACCCTATTCGTAAGACAATACTAATACAAGATCTTCTAGTAAGATAATTTCCCAATACTCCTACAATTACCCTTTTCGTAAGACAATACTAATACAAGATCTTCTAGTAAGATAATTCCCCAATACTCCTACAATTACCCTATTCGTAAGACAATACTAATACAAGATCTTCTAGTAAGATAATTCCCCAATACTCCTACAATTACCCTTTTCGTAAGACAATACTAATACAAGATCTTCTAGTAAGATAATTCCCCAATACTCCTACAATTACCCTATTCGTAAGACAATACTAATACAAGATCTTCTAGTAAGATAATTTCCCAATACTCCTACAATTACCCTTTTCGTAAGACAATACTAATACAAGATCTTCTAGTAAGATAATTTCCCAATACTCCTACAATTACCCTTTTCGTAAGACAATACTAATACAAGATCTTCTAGTAAGATAATTCCCCAATACTCCTACAATTACCCTTTTCGTAAGACAATACTAATACAAGATCTTCTAGTAAGATAATTCCCCAATACTCCTACAATTACCCTTTTCGTAAGACAATACTAATACAAGATCTTCTAGTAAGATAATTCCCCAATACTCCTACAATTACCCTTTTCGTAAGACAATACTAATACAAGATCTTCTAGTAAGATAATTCCCCAATACTCCTACAATTACCCTATTCGTAAGACAATACTAATACAAGATCTTCTAGTAAGATAATTCCCCAATACTCCTACAATTACCCTATTCGTAAGACAATACTAATACAAGATCTTCTAGTAAGATAATTCCCCAATACTCCTACAATTACCCTATTCGTAAGACAATACTAATACAAGATCTTCTAGTAAGATAATTCCCCAATACTCCTACAATTACCCTTTTCGTAAGACAATACTAATACAAGATCTTCTAGTAAGATAATTTCCCAATACTCCTACAATTACCCTTTTCGTAAGACAATACTAATACAAGATCTTCTAGTAAGATAATTCCCCAATACTCCTACAATTACCCTTTTCGTAAGACAATACTAATACAAGATCTTCTAGTAAGATAATTCACCAATACTCCTACAATTACCCTATTCGTAAGACAATACTAATACAAGATCTTCTAGTAAGATAATTCCCCAATACTCCTACAATTACCCTTTTCGTAAGACAATACTAATACAAGATCTTCTAGTAAGATAATTTCCCAATACTCCTACAATTACCCTATTCGTAAAACATTACTAATACAAGAGTGGATACATTTGAAATGTCATGTCTAGAGGAATAATAATATTCATCAAATTTCCTGCTAAAACTTTTATTGTATGGCAATACTAAAACGAGAGTGGACACACTTCAATATCACATTTGATTTACTGTTTAAGACTGGCTCATACTAAAAGTCTTTGAGATTAAGATATTTCTACAGATATAACAAACAGTTAACATTGACTAATGAAAACTTAAAATGAGGTCAAGGTCAGCTGAACCAGACATTTATTTGCACCTTACCATAATTCTATTGACCAATTATAGTAAACTGATATTTCACATATATAGTAACTGAGAAATGGATTTATAAAAATAAGATGTTGTATGATTAATTTCCAATGAGACATCTCTCCACCAGATATCAAATGACATAGAAGCTAACAACAATAGGTCACCTTAAGGCCTTCAACAATGAGCAAATCCCATACCACATATTCCAACATAAAAGGCACTAAAAAGCTAGAAAATCTAAGGCCATTAAAATGAGGCCAATGTCAAGTGAATCTTTTTCAGATGCCAGGAAATGTGGGTGATTACACAATTCAACAAGAATATATAAGTATCCATTGAACACCATGCTCACCATGCCATTTTCAGTGAACCACTAATGGGTCAAAACCTTACTGGTAATTTGGTTTAACTTTAGTCCTGCTTTTTTTTTAAAAGATTCAGCTCTTTCAGATTTGTAACTGGTTTGGACTAGCTTATTTGTCATAATGTGCATCTTTTGCAGTAAATTTGGTACTGTAAATATTATTATTACAACTAGGCCTATTTCTCAGGGGTATCACCAGCCCAGTAACCATTACATTGATACTGGCATGAAAATACAGATATTGTTTTACTAAAATTTGCCTTTATTAAATTATGGAATTCTTTTTAAATTAGAAATCTATCTCCCTTATGCATAGCTCTGATTCAATGTCCTGTTTGGTTTCAATTTTTAGTCCTTTTTAGTGTTCTCATCACTTGGCATCCGTCGTCTGTCGTCGTCCTTTAACTTTTACAAAAATCTTCTCCTCTGAAACTACTGGGCCAAATTAAACGAAAGTCATCGCCAATCATGATTGGGGTATCTAGTTTAATAAATGTGTCCGATGACCCTGCCTACCAATCAATATGGCGGCCATGGCTAAAAATAGAACATAGGGATAAAAATGCAAGTTTTGTCTATTATTTTGAAATTTGTTATGAATAGAGAAAATCTGACAGGAGCAAAAATGTTCAGAACGTTGAGCTCTACCAATTGTCCATATCATCAAAATTGTCAGATGACTTCGGGAGTTATTGCCCTTGATTGACAATTTTTTTTTTATTTTTGCCTATTATCTTGAAAACTTTAATAGATACAGAGAAACATTAAACTGCAAAAATGATCAGCTAGATAAGTTCTACAAATAAATTCCATTGTCGAAATCGTCAATTTACTCCTTATTAGAGTTATTGCCCTTTGATGATGCTTATCACCAATTTTTTTGAGTTTTTGGTTTATATCTTAAAAATTATGATAGATAGAAACTTAAATTAGCAAAAATGATCAGCAAGACAAGATCTACAATTCAGGAAGCAAGAGAACCATCGACCTTAGGTAGGAAAACTGGCAATCCTAGTCGATTAAGATTGGAATCACATAATAATGAAAATGTGTACCAAGTTTCAAGTTCATTTGACAACAAAAAATACCCCAAAGGCATATATTTAAATCGATTATCAAGGTAGCAATACACAGTTAGGAAAAAAACTGAAAATTGACACTCATAATTTTTAAACACCCTTTTTCCCTTCCTTTCTAACAAATAATATTTGTGTTATGCATGTGTATATTTATAGAACGAGAATCTTCTATAGATTTGATTTCTAATGGTTATAATGGTGAAATATAATCTCTTTTGGGTGTAATCATGGCAACAATCTGCATTTCTTTGATACAAAATATTGCATAAAAGGGGGGTGAACATGTCACAAAAGTCTCCAAAATTTGGTCCAAAGGAAAATTTCAATCAATTACAGTGATACCTTTCCTGAATCCATAGACATATATCTATCAAGAGGTCCAAAAAAAATCATATGCATTTCTGCTCGTTTTTCCATAAAATTGAATTGAAAAGATCGAGCGCAAAATCTTTGTTGATAAACACTACAATAATTTATGGACCTATGGGCGGTACGGATAGGAAAATACGGACAGTCAAACAGAAAAATGGCCTATAAAACATGCTAAAAACAATATAAATGTTCATATAAACCCACTAAGAAGGCTATATTATTCTTCAATTATCTAAAAATCAATTTTATTGTACAAACACTTTCATATTTAAAAAATTCACCATGGCTAACTGTGTATTGCTACCTAAGGCATCAAACACACTAACCCAAGCTGGACGGAGATCAAAGACACTAACCAAAGCTGAACAAGCTTTCCATTCACAATTTTACATTCACCTAAAGTTAATTATTATGAAGACATTAATTCAAGGTAAATAGTCTTAATTATCTTGTAATTTACACATTAGAATTCTTATCTACAGTAACTGATTCTCAGAGCAATTATCAGGTGTAAAGAATATAATTTAACTAACTGACCTATGTGTGGACTGTACCAAGCTGGTTAACCGTTAAATGACTTATAATTTGTACATGTTTAGGTCTAACTGACCTATGTACTGTACCAAGCTGGTTAAATGACTTATAATTTGTACATGTTTAGGTCTAACTGACCCATGTACTGTACCAAGCTGGTTAAATGACTTATGATTTGTACATGTAAGGTCTAACTGACCTATTTGGACTGTACCAAGCAGGTTAAATAACTTATGATTTGTTCATGTTTAGGTCTAACTGACCCATGTACTGTACCAAGCAGGTTAAATAACTTATGATTTGTTCATGTTTAGGTCTAACTGACCCATGTACTGTACCAAGCTGGTTAAATGACTTATAATTTGTACATGTTTAGGTCTAACTGACCCATGTACTGTACAAAGCTGGTTAAATGACTTATAATTTGTACATGTTTAGGTCTAACTGACCCATGTACTGTACCAAGCTGGTTAAATGATTTATAATTTGTACATGTTTAGGTCTAACTGACCCATGTACTGTACCAAGCTGGTTAAATGACTTATAATTTGTACATGTTTAGGTCTAACTGACCCATGTACTGTACCAAGCTGGTTAAATGACTTATAATTTGTACATGTTTAGGTCTAACTGACCCATGTACTGTACCAAGCAGGATAAATAACTTATGATTTGTTCATGTTTAGGTCTAACTGACCCATTTAGACTGTATCAAGCAGGTTAAATAACTTGTGATTTTTACATGTTTAGGTCTAACTGACCCACATGGACTGTACCAAGCAAGTTAGATAACTTTTGATTTTTACATGTTTAGGTCTAACTGACCCAAGTGGACTGTACCAAGCAAGTTAGACAACTTGTGATTTTTACATGTTTAGGTCTAACTGACCCACGTGGACTGTACCAAGCAAGTTAGATAACTTTTGATTTTTACATGTTTAGGTCTAACTGACCCAAGTGGACTGTATCTTGAAGCAGGTACAATCCAACAAAAACATAAACTTATGATTTTTACATTTTTAGGTCTAATTGACCCATGTAGACTGTACTAAGCAGGTTAAATAATTTTTTTTATATGTCAGGTCATGGCATCCAGTAAACCTAGCCAAGCTATCAAAACAGAATGTGACAAACATGGTCAACAGCTCAACTTGTACTGCCCCGGTCATTTAATGCCTTGCTGTGATAAATGTATTTCCACTAGTCATTCAAAATGTACTGGAATACAAAGTTTATCAAGTGTAGTGGAGAAAACCAAGATTGAAAAATCAAAGGAATCTGTAGAGAAGGACATAAATTCTATTTTATCTTTTTTGGAAACATTAATCAACAAGAAATCCAAAAACATAAAATCAGGAGAAAATCAAATTGGTAGCATTAAGAAATCAATTAAAGGAATTAGACAAGAAATAAACAAACATTTAGACCACCTGGAGAAAAAGTTATGCCAAGAAACAGATATTATTTGGAATCAGGAAAAATCAAAAACAACTGATTTCATTTCTGAAATTGAAGGTGAAAAGAAAACCTTGAAAGAAATCAACGAACATTTACAACCAGTCATAACAAATACTTCTAAACTACAATCCTTTCTAGGCGTACATCAGATTGAACAACAAGTACATCAATGTCAAAGATATGTTGAAGATCTGGAAAAAGATGAAAGAGTCAAAGAATTTGACATCAAAATGAAGCAAAATGGTGACATAGAAAAAATACTAACTAAATTAGGATCATTAAAATCCTTAGGAGAAGTCATTGTTATAAAGACAGAAGTAGCCATGAATAGAGAAACAAGTGTAAAGAGGAAAGCACAAGTAGAATCACAAGAACAATCCAACATAAACAACATGACCATGAATATTGAGACAAAGATAGAGATCAACATGGAGAAGGTGATTAATGAAATGATTTGTCTGATGGATGGAAGAGTTATAGTAGTGGAACGGTATAGTAATGTTTACCTACTTACTTCTGATGGCAAACTACAGAAACAACTACCTATACCTGGTGAACCCTGGAGTGTTACACAGATCAATCAGGATACTATAGCCATAACTTATCCTGGTGAGAAAGCCATTGAGATCTTCAATATGGAGAATGAAACAGTTACCAAAGTTATCAAATTAGACAAAGGATGCAGGGGTTTATCATTCTACAATAATTCTCTGGCTGTAGGTTTGTATCCTGATGAAATCCGTATTATAGACTTGGAAGGAAATACACTGAAGTCAATACAAGTTGAGAGTAAATCATACCTGAATCACCTTGTTTACCGTAATGACAGAGTAATCTATAGTGACTATATAGGTAAAGCAGTATACTGTGTGGATGGATCAGGTAAACAGATCTGGCAATATACACAGGATTTATCACGACCACTAGGACTTTGTACAGATACTTATGGTAACATTATTGTAGCAGACTATGGATCTAATAGAATAATAGTAATATCAAAAGATGGACAGAATAGTAAAGTACTGATTAGTAAAGAGGACGGACTGGAGAATCCAAAGTGTATTTGTTTTAAACATAATGAGTCTTCAGGTTTTATTTGTGATTACAATAGCACATACTTGACAAAATTTAATTTATCTACAGGATGACATACACACTAAGGAATCATATTATATTATCTGATTAGGAAACTTTGTCAGAAATATACAAATATATTGGTAACAAGTGGTAATATTTGGTGTGAAGTTTTAATGTAGGAGAAATGGTAGGCAAGTGTATAAATGTATGTTTTTAAACACTTTATAAATTTCATTCCTCTGAAGCACTTTTCTGAATTTACCATCATCAGGAATGCTCAAAGCTGAATATTTGAAAGCCAAGGATGTATATTAAAGAACCAAAACAGTTTTGGATAACTATCTAATTAATGTTTTTATTGTGTTGTTGGGTTACTGACTATCTAATGTCCACATCACATATCATAATTTTTCCTAAGTGTTGATAGCGGTGTAAAGTTTGAATGTGAGAGGAAATGAAGGCAAGCATTTAAATGTATATTTTTATTGCAATTTAGGGTAACTGTGTAAATAATGTTCAATTCAAATATCCTTATATTCCAATGTGTAGATATTTTGTGTGAAGTTTAAATGCAGAGAGGAAATGTAGGCAAGTGTATAGATGCATGTTTTTATTGTGTCCTTAGGTACCCGGTAATTGTCTAATTAATGTTCATATTCATATCTTATATTCCTAAGTGTTGATATTGGTTTGGAGTTTGAATGTGGGGGTAAATGTATGCAGGTGTGAAGATGTGTGTTTTCATTGTGTTGCTGGACTATTTATTCCTAAGTGGTGATATCTGTTGTGAAGTTTGAATGTGAGAAGTAATGAAAGCATGTGTATGGAGCTATCTTTTTATTGTGTTGTTTGGTTACTGTCTAATTAATGTTCGCATCACATATCCTTATATACCTAAGTGGTGATATTTGGTGTGAAGTTTGAATGTGAGAGGTAATGTACCAGTAGGGAAGTTTGTAGATGTATGTGTTTATTGTGTTGTTGGGTTACTGTCTAATTAATATTTACATTACTTATCCTTATATTTCTAAGTTGAGATATTGGTTTGGAGTTTGAATGTGAGAGGAAAAGTAGGCAAGTGTATAGATGTATGTTTTATTGTGTTGTTGGGTTACTGTCTAATTAATATTCACATCACAAATCCTTATATTCCTAAGTGATGATATTGGTTTAGTGTTTGAATGTGAGAGAAATGTAGGCAAGTGAATAGATGTTTGTGTTTTTAGTATGGTCAAGTTAGCTAATGTTCAATCACATATCTTTATACATTGTACTTCTGATTGAAGAAATATCTAGAATTATAGATTTAATAAGATACTTTTTTAAATAATTATTTATGGAAAAAGGACAATCTTTATAAAAAAATCAAATATGTATTTACGATAATTTTTTAAACTTAAACCTTCAGCTCTATATATATAGGGCATAAGAAATAATCATAAAAATATTTATGGAAAACTTGAAAGAGAAAATGTATTTATTATAGTATCAGTAAAAATAAATATGATAGTTACTCATCATCCCCATATTAAACTTTAGGTGCACTATCTAATCATATCCCCTTATTAAACTTTAGGTGCACTATCTAATCATATCCCATTATTAAACTTTAGGTGCACTATCTAATCATATTCCCATATTAAACTTTAGGTGCACTATCTAATCAAATTCCCATATTAAACTTTAGGTGCACTATATATAGCTATCCAATCATATCCCCATATTAAACTTTAGGTACACTATCTAATCATATCCCCATATTAAACTTTAGGTGCACTATCTAATCAGATCCCCTAATTAAACTTTAGGTGCACTTTCTAATCATATTCCCTTATTAAACTTTAGGTGCACTTTCTAATCATATTCCCTTATTAAATTTTAGGTGCACTTTCTAATCATATTCCCTTATTAAACTTTAGGTGCACTATCTAATCAAATTCCCATATTAAACTTTAGGTGCACTATATATAGCTATCCAATCATATCCCCATATTAAACTTTAGGTACACTATCTAATCATATCCCCATATTAAACTTTAGGTGCACTATCTAATCAGATCCCCTAATTAAACTTTAGGTGCACTTTCTAATCATATTCCCTTATAAAACTTTAGGTGCACTTTCTAATCATATTCCCTTATTAAACTTTAGGTACATTATCTTATCATATCCCCATATTAAACTTTAGGTGCACTATCTAATCAAATCCCCTAATTAAACTTTAGGCGCATTATCTAATCATATTCCCTTATTAAACTTTAGGTGCACTATCTAATCATATTCCCTTATTAAACTTTAGGTGCACTATCTAATCATATTCCCGTATTAAACTTTAGGTGCACTTTCTAATCATATTCCCTTATTAAACTTTAGATGCACTATCTAATCATATTCCCTTATTAAACTTTAGGTGCACTATCTAATCATATTCCCTTATTAAACTTTAGGTGCACTATCTAATCATATTCCCGTATTAAACTTTAGGTGCACTTTCTAATCATATTCCCTTATTAAACTTTAGATGCACTATCTAATCATATTCCCTTATTAAACTTTAGGTGCACTATCTAATCATATTCCCTTATTAAACTTTAGGTGCACTATCTAATCATATTCCCTTATTAAACTTTAGGTGCACTATCTAATCATATTCCCTTATGAAACTTTAGGTGCACTATTTAATCATATCCCCTTATTAAACTTTAGGTGCACTACCTAATCATATATCAAACTTTAGGTGCTCTAGGCTTTCTTCTCTGATTTCTTTGAAACTAGGAAGTTGTCTCTTTTTAAACATTAAATTAAAGAATGATCAAGATCAATATATACCATATTTGTATTGATCTATTCACAAACCAAAAAATTACAAACAAAATAAATTTTGGAGCACTTTTGCTTTATGTTAATATAGCATAAGGGAGCTACCATTTGATTTTTATATTGGGTGGGGGGGGGGGGGGGGGGGGGGCTAAGATGAAATTTTTAAAAAAAAAAGGCAGGACAGGAGTTTTGAGTAAAAAAAAAGGCAGGACGAGCAACTTGGCAAAAAAAAAGGCAGGATGATAATTTATGTAAAAAAAAGGCAGGGTAAACTAATAAAGAAAAAGGCAGGACCAATTAGAGTGAAAAATAAAAAGGCAGGACAGAGATTACCACTAAAAAAAATGCAGGACAAAATTTTTCATCCTAGACCTCCCCCATAAAAATCAAATGGTAGCTCCCTAATTGAATGTTCTTTCAATAAGACCGTTTGAGATAAATATCTCAAAAATCTAGCTCATATTGTGCCATTACAACTTGTATTGTATTCCATCAAGCAATGTTTTGTTTTTGGTAAATTTACAGGGCCAAATCAACCCCCTAATGAACCTTGTCCTGTTAGAATAAAAAAAAAAATGTTCACCATGAAATTAATCAAATTCAAAAAAATATTTGTTGCCATTAAACTTCAAATATTAAACGTAATTTTTCTCCACTCTTTACACCAATTATTATTTTATGTTCTAAGATTTACTGAACATTGACTTGTTTATATACTGAAATGTCAGTAACAATTAACATTTTTAATCGGATAGATAAAAATTATTGCAAAAAGAATTTTGAGAAAAACTAGATATCATTGAGATGGGAGCCATCTCTGTGGGCCCACTGTGAATAATGTGTGGTAAAAAATTTGTATCTTTATCATTGGACATGGGGTTGTTAACTGAAACCAAAGTTTATGACCTTGACCTTTGACCTAGGAAGTTGTACATAAATTATGACACACCCTCTGGTGTTGGTTTATATACATGTCAAGTATAAACTTTGAAATCATAACGGTTCTCTAGATATAGAGCGGACACGATCTTTACTATACGACATGGGGTTGTCAACTAAAACCAAAGTTTTTGACCTTGACCTTTGACCTAGGAAGTTGTACATATATTATGACACACTCTCTGGTGTTGGTTAATATACATGTCAAGTATAAACTTTGAAATCATAACGGTTCTCAAGATATAGAGCGGACACAATCTTTACCATAGGACATGGGGTTGTCAACTAAAACCAAAGTTTTTGACCTTGACCTTTGACCAAGGAAGTTGTACATACATTATGACACACCTTCTGGTGTTGGTTAATATACATGTCAAGCATAAACTTTGAAATCATAACGGTTCTCTAGATAATAGAGCGGACACAATTTGTTAAGGACGGATGGACGGACAAACGGACGGACAGACGGACGAACGGACGGACGGACAGACGGACGGACATACTGACGGACAGACTGATCATTATAGGGCGTCCGCCATTCAGCGGGGCCCTAATAATATTGTATTTTATGATAAATGCGGTGAAAATGACCAATGTGATATCATTAATTTTGACAAAAACAATATCAAATTTAGTCGCAAACATTCTGATTTACCATGTTTACACTTTACTTTATTTGTGTTTGTTATCATGATTTTTATACATTGAATTTTTATATGAACTTGCATGATGTCGTATTTTGAAATTTTTTATTTTCTTCAATTGTGGAAGTATTCAAAAAAGTTTTTAAATTAACACATTCTTTGAACTTTGAATTTTTCATTTTGTCTCACATTTTTGCATTTACATGCATTTTGAATAATGGTCTTTCATACTTTTAAAGGGTAAAATTTTTACATTTGAAACACAAGGACACATTGTAATATTTAATTCTTTTTTACAATTTTTTACAATTTTAATAGATGAACTGTCAGAAGATTTGTCCATGATTTTACATCTTCAATTGGCTTTAATGTTTTAGCACGTTAAAGTCTGATTCAATTTCTTCAAACTGATCAATGTAATACTATGACGAGGATACATCATTATGTCAGTGTTATTGGTAATTAGTTGTAAACATTCTTTTATTGAGCAATAAATAATTGCTTTGCTTTGTAAAAAAAGGATGAAAGACTCAAACAGTCAGGATGCATAAAATGTGTGTTGAACAATGGTGAATGGTCTAAAATGCACATTTTTAATATACAGAAAAATAAAAAGTTAAAATCTGGGATTTGTTTTAAATCAGGTTCTAATATAAATATATATGCACAACCCTGTACTATTGTTTAGCTGACAATCTCTGTACTTAAAAAACAAAATTAAACAATTACATTTTTTTAATATTATACTGGTATTAATATTTTTTCATATTTTTCTATTTTTTCTTCTAATATATATTACATGTATATATAGCTAAATAGGCGACAAAGGGTGTAGGTAGGGGTGATTTCTCATTCAATGACAAAAGTGTTCTTTTCTCATCAGGGGTGGAGGTCATAAACACTAAATACCAGTATGTCTTTAGAATGATATTCGTAATAATATATGCGACCGTTATGGAAAAGGAATGGCTACAAAATCTCAATCCTTACTAAAGGATTCTTTTTCTGCTACATCAATCGTCCCAGCATTGGTTGCATTTAACTAGCACATGCCTTATTCTATGTTTCTCGATATAATAACCTACCGGGGGAATAATTAAGGGACCATATTTAATTCTTAATTGTTTATAATCTTAAATATTTTATGCCAATAATTTTTCCATAGTCTGGGAATTCAGTTGGAAGAAATAGGAATTTTTATAGTTCCTTCCGGCTGCACTACTTGGAAACTACTGCAAAACATTTACCAGAATATAGTATCAACATTCAAATTTAAAAGTAGGATTTCAGAGAGAAATAATTCAAAAAGGGGACCTTTATTCTACATTTTATCAAGATATACTTTATTTTTCTAAGTATATCACAGCTACCTAAACAACACAAAGGTGAACAGACTTGAGTAAATTTCTAAACAATTTTATGATAACTATCAGTTATTAATTTACATTTCATTAGGAATTATCTTTTCAATTTGTTTTTTTTTGTTTTTTTGTTTTTTTGTTTTTTAATATTATTTTTTTTTGTATACATATGTATATAATTTGGAGTTTAGTATGACGTCCATTATCACTGAACTAGTATACTTATTTATTTAGGGGCCAGCTGAAGGACGCCTCCGGGTGCGGGAGTTTCTCGCTGCATTGAAGACCCATTGGTGGCCTTCGGCTGTTGTCTGCTCTATGGTCGGGTTGTTGTCTCTTTGACACATTCCCCATTTCCATTCTCAATTTTAATTTTATATGTATACTTATTTGTAAAACAGTCAACCCTGTTCATCCCAGTTCCATATAATTACTCGCCAAAATGTAATACTAAAAATATGTTAAGGAATGAGCACAATTACTACACAAGTAAGCCGCCTACCAAAACCAATAACAACAATAACAATAAATCAGGTTCACAACCTCTATAACTTTGAAAATTTTGCTGAGGTATGACTAAATTCGTTTATCTGGAAAATGGGGAAAGTTGCTAATTAATATTACGTGAGGGTACCAAAATTGCCCCTATTTTGACAGTTTTTTCACCTAGGTTTTTTTATGATCTAGACAAAAGTTTCCATTCTGTGGGTTTTTTTTTTTTGTAGACATATCCTAATTTACTATATAGTTACACCAATTTGATTTTGAATCCATATTGAATGATAGAAAAATGGGTTTGAACCCACCTCCAAACGATTCATGATTCTGTAATGAGGAGTACCCAAATTGCATCCATACTTAAGTTCACATCCTTAAAAATCGAATAACAGATGTATTGTTTTATTTCTTCAAATATTTAGAACAATTTGACATTAGTCCATGCCTACTCTTCATTTTTTTAAGAAATGCGACGTTTCTGTAGATTTTACTTTTTCCAGTGAATGCTTCATCTTTAGATATATATTGTGAAAGTTTTGTGTACATTTAAATACATTAACCTATGTTGAAAGACGCATACAATGTCAAATCATAAAAATACAAATTGTTAAGTCTCAAGGAAAACTTGTAAGATTTCCGCAGCTATTTTTTTTGAATAGGTGCAATTTGGGTACTCGGTGCAATTTAGGTACTGTGACATTAGGTAAAAACTGTAGGGGGAGTTGATTATTCAAAATAGGTACTGTCTTTTTCACAAGTGTTGCTAAAATTTGACTAGTTCCCAAGTTCAGAAGAAAAAATTGAGGGAAAATTCCTGAAACATTTCCATAATAGCAGGTTGGCAACTTTTATATATAAGGGAACATCCATTTAACTTCAAGGGAGGGTTATGGTTTTTTCCTAAAAAATATTCTGATCCCCAATTTGATGAAAAAAAGAATTGTGGTCAAGCAGATGACAAAAAAAAAAGGTTCTGAATCTAGATTTTTTCCATAACTTATAGTGTTATATTTTGAAAAAAATTATTTAATAGCGTCAAAAAACTAAAAAAAAATGTTCCTTCTTTGCGCGAAAAACATTTATGACTCAGACAAAAAAACCATACCCCCCCCCCCCCCCTTTTGAAGTTAAATGGTTGCTCCCTAGGCAATCTGTTTGTTTAGTGCCATTATCCAAGTCATACTTTTGAAACTGATCTTACTGACAAATAGGTGTCTAATTGTATCAACAATAGTTAAGAATGAAGAATGTGAAACATATGAATTGGTTGGTAAGAATTTTCTTTTTCTTATCTTACACTTGCTTAACAATAACAACCTTTCAGTAGTAATGGGCTAAACAAATGTTCACCAATTGATCAGTTTGAAGGAACAACCCAACTACAAATTGAAATAATCCATTTGGCTATAACTAGCATTGTGAAAAGACCAAGCCCTTTTAGATAAGAATATTTGCTTTTTGTGTGGTTTTTTTTGCTGTGGATGTATTGATTTTGTGTCATGGATGGATAACCCATATCCTTTGTTTTTCTATTATAGTACAAAGGAACATCATGTCTTGGTGAGTAGGGTCATAAAATAAGTTATGTCTACTTCTTTTGCAGTAAAAGTAATTCATTTTTCTAAACTAAAGTAATTTTAAAAGAAAAATAGATGTAGTATCAGCTGTGATACTATATAAGATGTAAATTCCTTTTTTTTAAAGTCTTGAATATGTAGACTCTGGATGACTCCTATTTAAGGTTTATGTAGACTCTGGATGACTCCTATTTCAGGTTCATGTAGACTCTGGATGACTCCTATTTCAGGTTTATGTAGACTGTAGATGACTCCTATTTCAGGTTTATGTAGACTGTGGATGACTCTCTGGATGACTCCTATTTAAGGTTTATGTAGACTGTGGATGACTCCTATTTAAGGTTTATGTAGACTGTGGATGACTCCTATTTCAGGTTTATGTAGACTGTAGATGACTCCTATTTCAGGTTCATGTAGACTGTAGATGACTCCTATTTCAGGTTCATGTAGACTGTGGATGACTCCTATTTCAGGTTCATGTAGACTGTGGATGACTCCTATTTCAGGTTTATGTAGACTGTGGATGACTCCTATTTCAGGTTTATGTAGACTGTGGATGACTCCTATTTAAGGTTTATGTAGACTGTGGATGACTCCTATTTAAGGTTTATGTAGACTGTGGATGACTCCTATTTAAGGTTTATGTAGACTGTGGATGACTCCTATTTAAGGTTTATGTAGACTGTAGATGACTCCTATTTAAGGTTTATGTAGACTGTAGATGACTCCTATTTAAGGTTTATGTAGACTGTGGATGACTCCTATTTCAGGTTTATGTAGACTGTGGATGACTCCTTTTTCAGGTTTATGTAGACTGTGGATGACTCCTATTTCAGGTTTATGTAGACTGTGGATGACTCCTATTTCAGGTTTATGTAGACTGTGGATGACTCCTATTTCAGGTTTATGTAGACTGTGGATGACTCCTAATTAAGGTTTATGTAGACTGTGGATGACTCCTATTTAAGGTTTATGTAGACTGTGGATGACTCCTATTTAAGGTTTATGTAGACTGTGGATGACTCCTATTTAAGGTTTATGTAGACTGTGGATGACTCCTATTTAAGGTTTATGTAGACTGTGGATGACTCCTATTTAAGGTTTATGTAGAGTGTGGATGACTCCTATTTAAGGTTTATGTAGACTCTGGATGACTCCTATTCAAGGTTTATGTAGACTCTGGATGACTCCTATTTAAGGTTTATGTAGACTCTGGATGACTCCTATTTAAGGTTTATGTAGACTGTGAATGACTCCTATTTAAGGTTTATGTAGACTCTGGATGACTCCTATTTAAGGTTTATGTAGACTGTGGATGACTCCTATTTAAGGTTTATGTAGACTCTGGATGACTCCTATTTACGGTTTATGTAGACTCTGGATGATTCCTATTTAAGGTTTATGTAGACTCTGGATGACTCCTATTTAAGGTTTATGTAGACTCTGGATGACTCCTATTTAAGGTTTATGTAGACTGTGAATGACTCCTATTTAAGGTTTATGTAGACTCTGGATGACTCCTATTTAAGGTTTATGTAGACTGTGAATGACTCCTATTTAAGGTTTATGTAGACTGTGAATGACTCCTATTTAAGGTTTATGTAGACTGTGGATGACTCCTATTTAAGGTTTATGTAGACTGTAGATGACTCCTATTTAAGGTTTATGTAGACTGTAGATGACTCCTATTTAAGGTTTATGTAGACTGTGGATGACTCCTATTTAAGGTTTATGTAGACTGTGAATGACTCCTATTTAAGGTTTATGTAGACTGTGGATGACTCCTATTTAAGGTTTATGTAGACTGTGGATGACTCCTATTTAAGGTTTATGTAGACTGTGGATGACTCCTATTTAAGGTTTATGTAGACTGTAGATGACTACTATTTAAGGTTTATGTACACTCTGGATGATGACTCCTATTTAAGGTTTATGTAGACTCTAGATGACTACTATTTAAGGTTTATGTAGACTGTGGATGACTTCTATTTAAGGTTTATGTAGACTGTGGATGACTCCTATTTAAGGTTTATGTAGACTCTGGATGACTCCTATTTAAGGTTTATGTAGACTCTGGATGACTCCTATTTAAGGTTATGTAGACTCTGGATGATGACTCCTATTTAAGGTTTATGTAGACTCTGGATGACTCCTATTTAAGGTTTATGTAGACTCTGGATGACTCCTATTTAAGGTTTATGTAGACTGTGGATGACTCCTATTTAAGGTTTATGTAGACTCTGGATGACTCCTATTTCAGGTTTATGTAGACTGTGGATGACTCCTATTTAAGGTTCATGTAGACTCTGGATGACTCCTATTTAAGGTTTATGTAGACTCTGGATGACTCCTATTTAAGGTTTATGTAGACTCTGGATGACTCCTATTTCAGGTTTATGTAGACTGTGGATGACTCCTATTTAAGGTTTATGTAGAGTGTGGATGACTCCTATTTAAGGTTTATGTAGACTCTGGATGACTCCTATTCAAGGTTTATGTAGACTCTGGATGACTCCTATTTAAGGTTTATGTAGACTCTGGATGACTCCTATTTAAGGTTTATGTAGACTGTGAATGACTCCTATTTAAGGTTTATGTAGACTCTGGATGACTCCTATTTAAGGTTTATGTAGACTGTGGATGACTCCTATTTAAGGTTTATGTAGACTCTGGATGACTCCTATTTACGGTTTATGTAGACTCTGGATGATTCCTATTTAAGGTTTATGTAGACTCTGGATGACTCCTATTTAAGGTTTATGTAGACTCTGGATGACTCCTATTTAAGGTTTATGTAGACTGTGAATGACTCCTATTTAAGGTTTATGTAGACTCTGGATGACTCCTATTTAAGGTTTATGTAGACTGTGAATGACTCCTATTTAAGGTTTATGTAGACTGTGAATGACTCCTATTTAAGGTTTATGTAGACTGTGGATGACTCCTATTTAAGGTTTATGTAGACTGTGGATGACTCCTATTTAAGGTTTATGTAGTCTGTAGATGACTCCTATTTAAGGTTTATGTAGACTGTGGATGACTCCTATTTAAGGTTTATGTAGACTGTGAATGACTCCTATTTAAGGTTTATGTAGACTGTGGATGACTCCTATTTAAGGTTTATGTAGACTGTGGATGACTCCTATTTAAGGTTTATGTAGACTGTGGATGACTCCTATTTAAGGTTTATGTAGACTGTAGATGACTACTATTTAAGGTTTATGTACACTCTGGATGATGACTCCTATTTAAGGTTTATGTAGACTCTAGATGACTACTATTTAAGGTTTATGTAGACTGTGGATGACTTCTATTTAAGGTTTATGTAGACTGTGGATGACTCCTATTTAAGGTTTATGTAGACTCTGGATGACTCCTATTTAAGGTTTATGTAGACTCTGGATGACTCCTATTTAAGGTTATGTAGACTCTGGATGATGACTCCTATTTAAGGTTTATGTAGACTGTGGATGACTCCTATTTAAGGTTTATGTAGACTCTGGATGACTCCTATTTAAGGTTTATGTAGACTGTGGATGACTCCTATTTAAGGTTTATGTAGACTCTGGATGACTCCTATTTCAGGTTTATGTAGACTGTGGATGACTCCTATTTAAGGTTCATGTAGACTCTGGATGACTCCTATTTAAGGTTTATGTAGACTCTGGATGACTCCTATTTAAGGTTTATGTAGACTCTGGATGACTCCTATTTCAGGTTTATGTAGACTCTAGATGACTCCTATTTAAGGTTTATGTAGACTCTGGATGACTCCTATTTCAGGTTTATGTAGACTGTGGATGACTCCTATTTAAGGTTTATGTAGACTGTGGATGACTCCTATTTAAGGTTTATGTAGACTCTAGATGACTCCTATTTAAGGTTTATGTAGTAAACTTTGGTATTCTTTGTCAATATGTCTGAAGTTGTGTACATTTATTAATAAACTTGTAAATATTTTAACAGTATAATGAATGAAATTATTGGAAGCATGTTGTGTTAAACTATTGATATATAAAATAAGGAGATATAGTATGATTGCCAATGAGGGAAATATCCACCAGAAACCAATCAATGTTGAAGTTAGCAACTATAGGTCACCATATACCCTTCAACAATGAACAAAACCCATACCCCATAGATAAGCTACAAAAAACTCTAATATGAAAAATGTAAAACAATTCAACTAGAAAATTTACAGCCTATTTTATGTTAAAACACAATAAACGAAAAACAAGTATGATATACAGGCTCCTGACTTGGGACAGGTACATACAAAATGTGGCATGATTAAAAATGTTTGTGGGCATCCAACCCTCCCCTGATCTTGGACAGTGGTGTAACAACACAACATATATCTGTCCATCTGTGTGGGTCATTGCCTATTCTCGTTCATCTTAAAATAGACACAAGAGTGAACACCCTGAAATGTCTCGCCTGTTTTACTAATCATGATTGACCTTATGTTGGAAGTCTGTTTTTTGAAGGTTTTACTACAAGTTGCACATAAAATTAACCATGATCAATGAACCATGAAAATGAGGTGAAGGTCAGATGAACCTACCAGACAAACATGTAGACCTTACAATCATTCCATACACCAACTATACTGTAAATTCAGAAATTAATGCATGCATTTACTATTACGAAATACTGATTACTGGTAAAAATGTGAGATATAATTAATGCAATGGCAAAAGTTTTGTGAAGGAAAATCACTCCTAAAATTATTAGAGCAAGTTTTTATTATTGCGAACCCTTTACTGTTGTATTTTCGCATTAATTAAAACATTGAATTTACAGTAGTTGACCTATTGCTTGTGGTTTCTGATAAACTGACAAAACACTGACCAATGAACTATGAAAATGATGTCAACGTCATATGATACCTTCTAGACAGATATGTACACCTTACAATCATTCCATACACCAAATATAGTGGCCCTATTGCTTATAGTATCTGAGAATTAGACTAAAACCTCAAACCATAACATTGCCCATTGAACCATGAAGAAAAAGTCAAGGTCAAATGAAACCTGTCAGACAGGCATATACACCATACAATCATACCATACACTAAATACAGCTGATCTATTGCTTATAGTATTTCAAAAACCTATCAAACCACAAAACGTTAACATTGAGAAATGAACCACAAAAATGAGGTCAAGGTCAGAAAAAACCTGCCAGTCGGACATGTACACCCTACAAGCATTTCATACACCAAATACAGTTGACCTATTGCTAAAATTATCTGAGATATGGACCTGACCATAAAAACTTAAACTTGATCACTGATCCATGAAATGAGGTCGAGGTAAGGTGAAACCTGACACACAGACATGTAAACCCCTTGCAAGGATCCCATTTACCAAATATAGTTATCCTATTAATCATGATAAGTGAGTATTTCAAATGAAGGAAAAACTGCATTTTTTTTTAAAGCAGTCACTGAACAATGAAAAAGAGATCAAGGACAATGAACATATGACGGATGAAAACTTCGTAACATAAGGGATCCTCATACAAGGTATGAAGCACCCAGGTCTTATAACCTTCTGAAATATAAAGCTGAAAACAAATAGTTTACGCCACCCCCACCTCGCTTACATAGCAGGCAAGACAAAAATGGTAATATTGGTTGAAATTATTTAAAAAGCCAATCCTTTAAAAATGTTGTTAAATTCAGAGGTTCGAACTGTGAAAACTTTTCAAAGATTATACTGATCCTGTAGACATATTAGTAACAAGGCAAGTATAAATACAAAATTGTTTGTATTTAAATTTACAAACTTAACAAATACATTACTACAAATGATGACTGGTGAGTTCAGAAAGAGGAAAATACTCCTCAAGGTGAAAAGTTCTATAATTTGAGATACAGAGGGTATTAACAGCAAGAACATTATAAAAATAAGGATATGCAGTATGCCTAACAATGAGACATTACTATTGACCAGAGACCGTACGGCCTTCAATAATGAGCATTAGTTAACTTTACACTTACATGGGACAAGCATTCTATTGAGGAGGAGGTCTAGTGAATTTTCAATTCATATTAGGTAGGACTGATCACTGATGTAGTTTCTTCCATCTTATCTATTCATACTAACCTGATAACATCATGTCTTGCCAGTTGGGATAATCTGCAACTTTCCTTGTATCAATAAGAAAATGTTTGAAATTCCATGAGAACTTTGCATCAGTCAGTTCTGACATTGTACAAGATGGACAAACTGCTACCAGAGACAGTATTGAAGTTGTTGCTGTTTTCTTCATACAGTTTAGGCGACATCTTAAATTGAATCAGACAATTTTTATCAATATGTTTTCAAATATTCATAAATTAATACTTATATATATACAAAATAAACAGGATGTCTAGCTTGTAATATTTATACAATCACTATTATTGGGTTGGTTATAAATATAAGCTAACAAATTTCCTAAGTTATATTGTTTCAGTGACAAAAACTGTATACCCTGGTTTACAAAGTGTATACATGTATATATATGTAGGGTCAGGAAAACTATGAGTTTGTTTTCAGTAGCTGTCAACAATCTTGAACATCATATTATTTAGTTTTTTTTTATTTGTTCTAGTCTGAGATTGGTTTGATATCCACTTTGGGGACTGTGGGAACTAAATTATCTTAGTTTTCTATTATATTGGTTTCGCAGAAATATGAGTTTTTCTGTATCTAGTTAATGTTGTACACTGATTGAGACAAAACAGGGATGCCTCATTTAACCCTGCACTTCATTCATGTGTGTTTCCGAATCCAAGAACCTTAATGTCATTTGATATTTTTGTGGTCCTTCAGGTGATTAGGTTTTGAAGTCACTATCACATTAATTGACGATTTGTATACACTCAAAGAGTTTTAGAGCTTGAGAAATATTATGAACAATAGCATGTTAAAGAATATAACAGACTAATTTACAGCAAAACAACTCGGGACAGGCATTTTAAGAATGTGGCGGGTTAAACATGTTTGTGTGTGTTCAACCCTCTCTTAACTTGGTACAGTGATGTAACAGTATAACATAAAACAAACTGTAAAAATCAGTTGCAAAATGGCTTAACTCAATAGATCAGTAAGAAGCACGAAAAAATAAAAAAATAGACACAAATCACTGATTTAAAGTACTTGTAGTAACTGAAAACTAGCTCAAAGCCAATAACAACTACCTTAATAAACAAGAACTTACTCTAATTCTAGTTCTGGTGGATCTCCATCAATAGTCTGAGCATGCTGTACAAAGTATCCATACGATCCTTCAAAGATGGTACGCAGGTATATAAGATAACCAACTCCATTAACTACGTCATGTCTCTGTACCTGTAACTCAGCATACCCATCAGCTTTAGGACTAAAGTGGGCACATCGATTGTCCTCCACTAAACCATACAGCCAATGTGTATAGTTTTTCTCTATCATTTCTAACCTATTCCAATCCACTTGGTTTATTTGTATTATAATATTGTAAAAATCTCTCAAAAAGTCAAGGTAGAAATGTTTAAATTCTTTCTCTGTTTTCCTAATATACAACTGAAGAAAATCGTCCATTTTGATATAATCCGTTAATTGTAACCCCTTCTCCATTATGTCAACATAAGATGCATACGTATTAATGGTAGAATTCATCAGGTCAAGGTCATCACGAATGTCTTTAATTGTTCTTAACCAATCATCTAGGACTATAAGAAATGGTGAATTAGTTGTCAAATCTTCTATAGGTACACCTTCAAAGTTGTAAAGACTTAACATTGTTAAATAACTATCTGAAAGAAGGTCAAGAAAATCCATTAAGTGATCAACGAATAAAGACTCCTCATTGAAAAGGTCATTAACCAGCTCATTATACTCATTCCTAACTAACTCATTATCACTCGGTAGAACTATCTCCTTGAATATTTTTGGTTGAGCATCTTTGGACAGTTCTTTCATATATTTTATTTGGAAGAAATCCTGAAACGGTTTGGTTTCTATAACATAGTAATAATAATTTGTATAGTTATCATTGACATATAAATCATATTTTGACGAACCATCGTCCTGACCAGCTACATAACTCGTCTTATATCTTTCTCTTATAGTTACATTGTAATCGTCAGCTAATTTCCCAGTAGCATTATCCAGGGATTGTACATGTGTATATAAAGTTGAAGCATTTATTCTCATTAATTTCTCATCTACTTCTTGTAAGAAATCTGTGTCGTACCATTTCTCCACATTTTGCTGTTCAAGAAATACATACAACGGATCAATCTTGAAACTAAGTAATTTGTAAATGTCGTTTGTGACAAAGTTCAAGCATGCCCAATCAAAAACAAGTCCTGATGGATCTCCTGGTCCATTTTTCAGACTGTATGATCCTGACTTTCCATCTAAGTTCACGGAACCTTCACCAATATATCTGCCTGTTCCTCCTTTAATGAACGTGTTTGGTGGAGGATGTTCTAGTTTTAAATACATGGATTCTACCATCCAGTGTGTGAAGTCTTCGGGATAACCAATCTTGACATGTAAACGATACAACCCTGGTTTAAGGTCATGGGGTTGGAGTAAAAAATAAAAGGAACTACTGGTACGGTTTTCTTTGATCTCTGTGACTGTACCATTATCATCGGTCATTCTTTTAAATAGCTCCCACGAATAAAATATAGATGTATTGGTAAAACATAAGTTCTGAGGCAGTGCTTCAATAATGACCTTAGCAGATGTGTAAACAACCATGGGGGAATCCTCTGACAAATAATTCTGATCAAACACTTCACTAGTCAGGCAAGGAGGTATCACTGAAATAATGAAAGAACCTTATTGAGCGTGCTCACATACCCCACGTCCCCACATTGTCATTGGAGAAATAAAATAAGTGTAAGGAAAAAAAATTGTATCAAAAAAAAAATTGAATCATAATTTCCTGTCAATATGCACATCTATGTAGTATGTCCTTATTATCTGAAAAGGTTTCATGAAATTCTGTGGTGTGGTTTGAGAGGAGTTGCGATGACAAACTGTTGCAGTAGTACATTAAAGTAAATAAGTTCAAAGGGGCGCAACTCCTAGAAAAAGAATTGAATCGTAATTTCCTGTCGATATGCACAACTACATAGTATGTCCTTATTATCTAAAAAGGGTTCGTGAAATTCTGTTGTGTGGTTTGAGAGGAGTTGCAAAGACAAAAGGTTGCAGTAGTATATTGGGCAAATAAGTTCAAAGGGGCGTAACTCCTGGAAAAAAAAATTGAATCGTAATTTCCTGTTGATATGCACATCTACGTAGTATGTCCTTATTATCTGAAAAGGTTTCATGAAATTCTGTTGTGTGGTTTGAGAGGAGTTGAGATGACAAACTGTTGCAGTAGTATATTGGGCAAATAAGTTCAAAGGGGCGTAACTCCTGGAAAAAAAATTGAATCGTAATTTCCTGTCGATATACACAACTACATAGTATGTCCTTATTATCTAAAAAGGTTTCGTGAAATTCTGTTGTGTGGTTTGAGAGGAGTTGCGATGACAAGAAACAGGACAGACGGACTGACGGACGGACGGACTGACGGAAGGAAGGACAGGTCAAAAACATTATACCCTCCGCAACTCGTTGGGTATAAAAACAAAAATATCCCTGGTTAAATATGGGGGCATAAATGAAATCAAAGAAATTTATCCCTAGTTAAACATGGTGGCATAAATGAAATCAAAGAAAAATATCACTTGTTAAACATGGTGGCATAAATGAAATCAAGCAAAAACATCACTGGTTAAACATGGTGGCATAAATGAAATCAAACAAAAACATCACTGGTTAAACATGGTGGCATAAATGAAATCAAACAAAAACATCACTGGTTAAACATGGTGGCATAAATGAAATCAAGCAAAAACATCACTGGTTAAACATGGTGGCATAAATGAAATCAAACAAAAACATCCCTGGTTAAACATGGTGGCATAAATGAATTCAAACAAAAATATCCCTGGTTAAACATGGTGGCATAAATGAAATCAAGCAAAAACATCACTGGTTAAACATGGTGGCATAAATGAAATCAAACAAAAATATCCCTGGTTAAACATGGTGGCATAAATGAAATCAAACAAAAATATCCCTGGTTAAACATGGTGGCATAAATGAAATCAAAGAAAAACATCCCTGGTTAAACATGGTGGCATAAATGAAATCAAAGAAAAACATCACTGGTTAAACATGGTGGCATAAATGAAATCAAACAAAAATATCCCTGGTTTAACATGGTGGCATAAATGAAATCAAACAAAAATATCCCTGGTTAAACATGGTGGCATAAATGAAATCAAGCAAAAACATCACTGGTTAAACATGGTGGCATAAACGAAATCAAACAAAAATATCCCTGGTTAAACATGGTTGCATAAATGAAATCAAACAAAAATATCCCTGATTAAACATGGTGGCATAAATGAAATCAAACAAAAACATCACTGGTTAAACATGGTGGCATAAATGAAATCAAATAAAAACATCACTGGTTAAACATGGTGGCATAAATGAAATCAAACAAAAATATCCCTGGTTAAACATGGTGGCATAAATGAAATCAAACAAAAATATCCCTGGTTAAACATGGTGGCATAAATGAAATCAAACTAAATTTACCTGGTTAAACATGGTGGCATAAATGAAATCAAACAAAAACATCACTGGTTAAACATGGTGGCATAAATGAAATCAAACAAAAACATCCCTGGTTAAACATGGTGGCATAAATGAAATCAAACAAAAATATCCCTGGTTAAACATGGTGGCATAAATGAAATCAAACAAAACAAGAAATGATTGTAACAGGATGCTGTTACGAAGTCTCCCAAACGAAGCTCCCATAATTCGTAATTCCCAGGGTCGCCTGACATTGGGCAAAGTCCAGTGAAAATTGGTTAGGTCCAGTAAAGTTATATGCATTAGTGATGCCTAGGGACTAACCCTGAATATCATTCAAATCATCTTGGCATGACAAACCAGAATATATATGGTTAAGGGTTGGGGATCTCGACCATTTACAAGATATTAGAACTTTCTCAAATGGCAGGGGATCGGGATGACCCCTGGGGATTAACCCTGTATATCATTCAAACCATCTTAGCATGACAAACCATAATATATATGGTTTAGGGGTGGGGATCTCGACCACTTACAAGATATTAGAACTTTCTTAAATGGCATGGGGTGGGGGTGACCCCTGGGGACTAACCCTGTATTTCATTTCATGTGTTTTATCATGACAAACCAGAATATATATGGTTTAGGGGTGGGGATCTCGACCATTTACAAGATATTAGAACTTTCTCAAATGGCAGGGGGTCGGGATGACCTCTGGGGACTAACCCTGCATATCATTCAAACCATCTTAGCATGACAAACCAGAATATATATGGTTTAGGGGTGGGGATCTTGACCATTTACAAGATATTAGAACTTTCTGAAATGGCAGGGGGTCGGGATGACCCCTGGGGACTAACCCTGTATATCATTCAAACCATCTAAGCATGACAAACCAGAATATATATGGTTTAGGGGTGGGGATCTTGACCACTTACAAGATATTAGAACTTTCTTAAATGGCATAGGGTGGGGGTGACCCCTTGGGACTTACCCTGTATTTCATTTGATTTGCTTTATCATGACAAACCAGAATATATATGGTTTAGGGGTGGGGATCTCGACCATTTACAAGATATTAGAACTTTCTCAAATGGCAGGAGGTCGGGATGACCCCTGGGGACTAACCCTGTATATCATTCAAACCATCTTAGCATGACAAACCATAATATATATGGTTTAGGGGTGGGGATCGTGACCACTTACAAGATATTAGAACTTTCTTAAATGGCATGGGGTGGGGGTGACCCCTGGGGACTAACCCTGTATTTCATTTGATGTGCTTTATCATGACAAACCAGAATATATATGGTTTAGGGGTGGGGATCTCGACCATTTACAAGATATTAGAACTTTCTCAAATGGCAGGGGGTTGTGATGACCCCTGGGGACTAACCCTGTATATCATTCAAACCATCTTAGCATGACAAACCAGAATATATATGGTTTAGGGGTAGGGATCTCGACCATTTACAAGATATTAGAACTTTCTCAAATGGCAGGGGGTTGGGATGACCCATGGGGACTAACCCTGTATATCATTCAAACCATCTTAGCATGACAAACCAGAATATATATGGTTTAGGGGTGGGGATCTTGACCATTTACAAGATAATAGAACTTTCTCAAATGGCAGGGGGTCGGGATGACCCCTGGGGACTAACCCTGTATATCATTCAAACCATCTTAGCATGACAAACCAGAATATATATGGTTTAGGGGTGGGGATCTCGACCATTTACAAGATATTAGAACTTTCTCAAATGGCAGGGGGTCGGGATGACCCCTGGGGACTAACCCTGTATATCATTCAAACCATCTTAGCATGACAAACCAGAATATATATGGTTTAGGGGTGGGGATCTTGACCACTTACAAGGTATTAGAACTTTCTTAAATGGCAGGGGGTGGGGGTGACCCCTGGGGACTAACCCTGTATTTCATTTAATGGGTTTTATCATTTAGAACATTTTCAATTAAAAAGATTGTGTCTATCACAAACGGTTTTCAATTTATAATCATTTGAAAATTTTAAAAAATAAAATCCCATAGGGTTCTATAGTAAAACCCTCTTTTCTTTTTGCCCCTCAAAGTACCCCTTTATAAACCCCATTGCACAAACAAAACCCTGATTGCACCACTAGACATGTTAGTCTAACATATTGTGAAATCCTAAGTTAATCTGACAAGCGGTTTTGGAGAACGGGTGCGGACAAGTTCAAATTTAAAAGCGGCGGAAGAGGAAGAGGAAGAAGAATAATAATAATAATAAGAACTGAGTAAAAACAATAAGTCTTCCCAAACTTCGTTTGGGAGACTTAAATATCCCTGGTTAAACATGGTGGCAGAAATGAAATCAAACAAAAATATCCCTGGTTAAACATGGTGGCATAAATGAAATCAAGCAAAAACATCACTGATTAAACATGGTGGCATAAATGAAATCAAGCAAAAACATCACTGGTTAAACATGGTGGCATAAATGAAATCAAACAAAAACATCACTGGTTAAACATGGTGGCATAAATGAAATCAAACAAAAACATCACTGGTTAAACAAGGTGGCATAAATGAAATCAAAGAAAAACATTGCTGGTTAAACAAGGTGGCATAAAAGAAATCAAACAAAAACATCACTGGTTAAACATGGTGGCAGAAATGAAATCAAACAAAAACATCACTGGTTAAACATGGTGGCAGAAATGAAATCAAACAAAAACATCACTGGCTAGACAATTCCCAATAAGAAGGGTCTTCTATTTGTCAAGCTGAAACCTCACCCTTTTATTGTTTTGATCCTCTTCTCCTCTATTTATTTTTATCAATGTATAAGCTATTGTTTTCATTTTACTAATCTTTATGGATATTCTATTTGTAAGTCTAAAAAACTATTTATTTTTATCAATGTATTACCTAGTTTTCTTTTTACTAATATTTGTGGATAGTCTACATGTTAATCTTAAGAACTATAGATAAAGACATTGGCATATGTATATCATGTGGTAAGCTGTAAACATATGACTTTCTTGGTTAACAGATGTTGTTGGTTTGCTGTATTTTATAACAGATATGTTACCTGTACATAAGCCAGTTTCATTAGCGATTCCCTCACAAGGTCCGCCTGAACAGACAGGTTCAGGATCAGAACAGTTACGTGATCTTGTATGATTCCCAATACCGTAAATAGATGTCATATTCTCTGGTAAACAGGTAGACCATTCTCCCCATGTAGACCAGCCACCATCTACTGGACCTGAAAAATATCAGTGATTGAATTAATAATCCATTCTTCCCAAGTAGACCACCCACCATCTACTGGACCTAAAAATATCAGCGATTGAATTAATAATCCATTCTCCCCAATTAGACCACCCACCATCTACTGGACCTGAAAAATATCAGTGATTGAATTAATAATCCATTCTCCCCAATTAGACCACCCACCATCTACTGGACCTGAAAAATATCAGTGATTGAATTAATAATCCATCTCCCCAAGAAGACCAGCAACCATCTACTGGACCTGAAAATTATCAGTGATTGAATTACTGTACCATACTCCCCAAGTAGACCAGCCACCATCTACTGGACCTGAAAAAAATTAGTGATTGAATTACTGTACCATACTCCCCAAGTAGACCAGCCACCATCTACTGGACCTGAAAAATATCAGTGATTGAATTACTGTAACATGCTCTCCAAGTAAACCATGCAGCCACCATCTACTGGACCTGAAAAAAATCAGTGATTGAATTAATAATCCATTCTCCCCAAATAGACCACCCACCATCTACTGGACCTGAAAAATATCTGTGATTGAATTAATAATCCTTTCTCCCCAAGTAGACCAACCACCATCTACTGGACCTAAAAATATCAGCGATTGAATTAATGTAACATGATACCTAAGTAGTGAATGTTCAAAAATGAACAATGGTCCACAAATAGACCAGCCATCATCTACTGGACCTAAAAAAAAAATAATAATGATTTATTTTATGGACCATGCTCCCCAAGTAGACAAGCCATCATCTACTGGACCTAAAAATATCAGTGATTGAATTACTGTAACATGCTACCTAAGAAGTAAATGTTCAAAAATGAACAATACTACCCAAATAGACCAGCCACCATCTATTGGACCTAAAATAAAATTAACAATGATATATTTTATGGACCATGCTCCCCAAGAGACCAGCCACCATCTACTGGATCTGAAATAATCGATAATGATTATTTCTTCGGACCATGCTCTCTAGGATGGATAGTCACCAATTATTGGACCTGAAAAAAAATAATAATGATTCATTTCATGGACTATGTTCTCAAAGAAGATCAACTGCTTTTTATTAGACATGAAAAAAACCCAATGATTCATTTTATGGACCATGCTCCCCAAGTAGAGCAGCATAAAATGTGAATTCATTTTTATTCCAGTTTTGGGGGATTTGGTGGGTATTCAAGTGAACCATGAATTTAAATATTCAATGATGTAAAAATTTTCTTTGGGCTAATATTCAAACTTTGGCAAAACCACAAAATTGAATATCCACTAAAACGCTATTTTTTTCTCCATCCACTAAAAATTGGTAGCCACAAAAAAATTGAATCCACAGCACTAGGCCTGAAAAGAACTGCAATTTTTCTAGGAGCACATGGTAAAATATTAACAAAAGCAACATTTTGGCTGACTGTATACCTACCATAATCGTCTGTCATCTACATAAGGATCAACAAATCTTTATTGCCAATAAATTTTAAAGGGCAACCTTATGATTGAAACTAGGAACCATTTTAAGGTCAAGGTTAAAAGTTAAAGTTAGAGATAATTTTAATGTGAAGGGATAAAAACTCAAATGGCTTGAAAATTGCTTACACCATGATGCTCCTCATAATGTGTTCAAGATAAAAGTATCAACGCATTATAATACAGAAACAGAGAAATGTGGGACCGACAATTTCCATACTCAGGTATTATGAACATTTTAAGTATTATGTGAAGTAGGATGTGACTTAAAAACAAGAAATTACTTACATATTGCACAACTCATCAAAGTTCAACAAGAAATAGCAAATCACTCCTTTAAACAAAGGCTGAGAAATATGTTCAAAGTTTTTTTAGCAAGTAATATAAAAATCAAAAGTATCACCAAACTGGAAAATTCTTAATATGGTACAACTCATCATAAGTTCCAAGCCAATTATCAAATCATTCCTTAAAACAAGAGCTGAAGAATAATTCTTCGATAGAAAAACAGGAGAACAGACAGAGGTTCCTCAATGCTCTTCAACTTGGTACTTTATTTGACCTTAAATGAACTCTGTGGATTCAAGGCTCACTGGTGAGTCTTTTGTAGACAAAACGGGTGTCTGGCTTACAAAATCATACGCCTGGGTAACTTTGATATGAGATTATTTATGGACAGATGGATGGATATAGTGTATGCAGTGTACTATCCACTTTATGAGTTTGGAAATTCCATCATTTTTTATCAGAACACTGTGAACAGACAGACAGATGGATGGACATAATGCTGGCAGTATACCATCCATTCTATAAAGGAGAGTATTCCAATCATTTTGTACAAGATCAAAACACTAGCAACATACAATTAAAGTGTAAATATGGTCGGCTATCAACATACCACAGTCCTTTGTGAGTGTATCTACACCAAGAACACTGCAATTCCTGCCCCCATTACACGGTGAAGGGTTATTACATGTTCTGTATCTACTTGTTTTCCCTTTACAATTAGTGGAACAGTCTTCCCATTCTGTCCAGGTGGAATAATTCCCATTTACTTTTTCTACAAAGAAATAAATGAAAAATATTAGATGATTTTCCAAAAAGTAAAACTATTGTTCTTGCTAGTGAGATCTAAAAATCACAATGTAATATCCTTCTCAGTGCCAACCAACCAAGACAGAAATATTAAAGTTTTAGATAAAGGTAATTAATATGCTATATGTTACTGTTGACTTCTTATTCAGGAGCATGGGGTATCTATTAGACAAAGTCTCACTCTTTCTTAATCCCTTTCAACAATCAAAGTTTCTCAATTGTTTTCTCACCAAATAATAAAAAAATAATTAAAAAATTCGTAAGGGTTCCACGGAACCCAGTGTCTCGTCACTTTTGCTGTTAGTCGCAGGCTCAACAAAAATAGGGAAAAAATTATTAAAAATTTTCCTCTAGATACTATCTTTTGATTGTAAGAAGCTTCTGTCCAAGTTTGGTAAAAATCCAGGATGGTTTATGAATCTAATAAATGTTTTAAAAACTTTAACTGCAGACTGTATGTAATGTTAACTGGAAGAAAAACGAAGTCCATTTATAAGTAATATACGGAAAAACAGGAAATCTTTTTTACAAAATTTCCTTCTAGATACTATCTTTTGATCATAAACAAGCTTCTGTCCAAGTTTGGTACAAATCCAGGATAGTTTAAGAAAGTTATTAAAATTTTAAAAACTTTAACCACAGAGTGAATGTAATGTTAACTGGCAGAAAAACTAAGTCCATTTATAAGTAAAATACAGATAAACAGGATTTTTTATTTTACAAAATTTACTTCTGGATACTATCTTACGATCGATCATAAACAAGCATCTGTCCAAGTTTGGTAGAAATCCAGGATATTTTAAGAAAGTTATTAAAATTTTAAAAACTTTAACCACAGAGAGAATGTTTGTGGACGCCGCTGCCGCCGACGGAATGTAGGATTGCTATGTCTCGCTTTTGCGACAAAAGTCGCAGGCTTGACAAAAATGAACAAATCTAAATCCTTCCATTATATTTAATGTTTTAAATGTGATTTTGTCTAAAAACATTAAGATATCTTTTTAGCTATAAATTATTCACAATAACAAGCACCTTTTTATTGACCTCAAACAATCTATGTACCTGTAGCCTGCTAACAATAACTTTGTTCTGAACCTGCAGCATAAAATTATGTCCCTCATGAGATATTATCTGCTTTTCATAGAAAAATATTGTCCATAAACAACATTTTATAATGAAATACTGTCCAGGACAATATATCATTATGAAATAGCGTCTGTCTTTCTCCGTGAAATTTTGTAAGGTTCTTCGGGACAATATTTCATTGTGAATTTCTTATGGAATTTAGACAGATTTTTCCCGATTTTGGCCATAAACTGTGATTCCTAACAATACAGGAACAAGACTGTTCCAATATTACAAGTGTGAACATTAAAAACGGTCACTTAATCAGGTTTATGACATTGTTTTAAGATTTTTGGTTGATATTTTAAGACTGAAAATAAATTTAACACAGACTGAGAAATCACAGGCAGACATAAAA